GATGAGAATTAGAATTCCAGACTCACTCCAATATCCTGGTCAGTGAAGCAATGGATAAAGTGGAGGATGAATTGCTTGGCGAGGTCGAACCAAGAGCCCGATACGCTCGAAGAATCGTCCACAATGAAAACAACGTCGGCGGAGCAAACTGTAGTGTCGAAACGTGAGATTAATGTAACGTTATGTTATGTTATGTTACGTTACGTTACGTTACGTTACGTTACGTTACGTTATGCTATGTAATGCTATGCTATGCTATGCTATGCTATGCTATGCTATGCTATGCTATGCTATGCTATGCTATGTTATGTTATGTTATGTTATGTTATGTTATGTTATGTTATGTTATGTTATGTTATGTTATGTTATGTTATGTTATGTTATGTTATGTTATGTTATGTTATGTTATGTTATGTTAGAAAATGTTCTGCCCAGATTTTCTACCATGATGCGTGATTCTATCTCACAAACACAACGTTCATCCAAGCCCACTGATCTTTACTAATAATAAGAAATGGTCAAACAGTACCCGTGCAGTCGCACCCTTTATACAGCTGAATTGATGCGGGGTTTACAATCGGTTTGCAATCACCATAATCAATCAATAATCACAACCAAATAATACACATGATACACAAATTCGCACAAGGGTCTGTGCGGTGCCACAAGGTGACCTCATCACGACTTTCCCCAACAGAAGTTAGGTACATATTCACACCTGGGTGAGTGCCTTTCCCAAGGACACAACGTCGGGGCACATGTCCCGGGTAGAAATCGGGATCGAACCCGGGTCTCCCCGTTTCATAATCGAACGCTCTACCACTACGCCACCCAAGGATTCAGACCTTCTCGGGACCTAAGTATGGGTTCCAATGGAATAATTGTTGAAGATCCGGGTGGATTTGGGGGGCAAAGCAAGAGGAGAATTAAGTTGATATTTCTGAACATTGATGACTACAAAACTATTCACATGCACAGGCACTATAAACGGTATTGTTAAGAAGAACCCTAGACTTCTTGAGATCACACCTAACTTTCCTGAGGGCCCTTTATTGGAACTCAAGTACCGGTATCCGGCTGAATGGGATGGTTGCCAGAGATCAATGTACAGTCTTGGCCCAAAGCCAGGGAAAACGGAGCTGATTGTAGATTGATAAAAAGGACCAACAAACATACTACAAAAAGATTATTAAGTTCCGAGTACCAAGATTGTACAAGTTCACCTTGATTTCATGAGAATAGCGGATGATAAAAGTTATCAGGATATTGTTGCTGTAAAATGCAACTGCCACCTAGTTCAAACTCAATGCCAAATTGCCAACACAATCAATTTTTTTTTTGGGGGGGGGGATTGAAAAATACTATACTAGTAGTGTCTGGAGAAAAATACCCTTTCCTTGTGTATTTAAGTTCCGCATTAAATTTAGCTCTAAATGTGTTGTCAGGAAGTGTGTCCAGAATTCCTGCCCTAATTGTGAGAAGAAGCAAGTGACTTCCGGCTCAGTATATTAGCAAATAAATATCAGCGGAATCTCGGGAATAAAATGTACCCACCTCCGCCGGCCTGCCGGACGACCCGACCAGTGCCGATTGTGTCGTGGATGGCGACTGACATCACTAAAGTGGGAAGCAACAGTTTCCACAGCATGTTTGTTGTGTTGAAGTCTGTGTAACGGCAGATAAATATGTTATTACTGATTGATTATTGACTGACCGAACCAGATTTCGCATCTGTCTGTAGTATTTATGAAACAACATTTTTTTTAGCTTTCCAATGAAGGTTATTATTATATACATATATTAAGTTACAAGGATTCAGGGTTGCTCTGTTACCGTTATCATCCACTCTAGCGGATAGTTAGGCCACACCGACTTAACTTTATGGATGGCATCCATAAAAAAGATCACGTCCTCCGAGGCTCTGGCCTGGCTCTAGGCCTGGGTAGTTCTTTTGATAAGGGAAGACTTGGCACCCCGATGCATGAGCAATTTGTACGTCTAATACACAGTCGTTATCGCAGTGTTCAGTCCGAGACTGAATGTACACGTAGTTATACCGATGATCATAAAACCGTACTGTGACATCCAGAAATGGAACAACAGAACAGATCATTTAGTACGAAAACACTTCTTACCGTCTTCTGAATCTCGGGAAATGCCGGTAGATAGTTGATACCAAGTCTGATCAAACCCCAGTCCGTTCGGTTCACCTTCTCACTGGAATACGATCCGTGCGACACAGGTGACAACGACGAACAAACCTGTGGCACAAACCGTTATGGGCAGAAATTTCGGACTCTTCCTATTGGCACACGTCAACCGTTTCTTTCCTTATCAGTTATTACAATCAGACTACGTCATATTAGAGACGTCATATTAGAGGACGTGTCCAGTCTGTAGCCTCCATGAACAGGCCCTAGCTATGACCTTGTTTTTTTTTCAAATATTTTTTTTTATTTCTTATATTTTTATCTTGCTCGTCAAGTCCCTGAGTAACGTATTGTCGTCTGGTTGCTAAAAGCATGTTCTAAGTACTCCCATTGTCAATCTCCAGACATATTGCATTGGAACAGTGTGTAATCAACAAAAGAAATCTACAAACACGCACGCGCGCGCGCGCACATACACATACTGTCACACACACCGTCGCTAGATTATGCTGCTGGGCGTTTTCGCACCGTTTCGTCACGCAGCTATCTAGTTGACAGTAAACACGTTTCTTATTGCAGTTATAGTCTTGAGGTTTTTAAAGCAGGAAAAATATTAAAAATATTTCTCGTTACATCCTAACACTAGCTATAATTTTTCTACACATTTCTTTAACAGATAAACCGTATGGCGTGGCTCTTTGGTGTCATCTTATAGCTACATCCGTGTTGATGTATTTTCTTAACAGTCTTCTGTAAACATCATGGATATATTAATAGATGTCACTTTCCCAAATGCGTTTGTACTGAAGGTAACAGAAACATGGCAGACCAAAACGTCAACACCGCCACAATATATATTACTCGTGCGATTTTAGCATGTCGGTGAAGGTTAGACATACAAGTAATAAGATACGCCAAAAAGCAGTTAATTAGCAATAGTTCGTGCTTATAAACCTGCAGTTCTCCTGCAGTCTCTAGTGTCACCGACGAAAGGTGGATGCTTCCTGAAACGTCTGACGGTTTCCAAAATCATATCCAGTTGCTTGAGTAACTGCCTTTTGGCGTGATTTTAATATGTTTTGTGGATTTGAGCAAGAGATGATATATAACTTTATATTTTATAATATACGTTGTACATGTTGTACGAGATGTAATCGCGCAACTGTCAATCAACCCTGCCCGTAATAATCTTACATCCTAAGATCCCTATTTATTTGCCACAAGTTATAAATGATCCCTGAATAACTGATACTGGACGTCCTTCAGAGCATCTAAAATACTAACCTCCTGAGCAGACTTCTGGTGGGGAAGCGTTTGTTTCTACCAGCGGTAAGAGCGGTGTTTTTTGGGGGGGTAGGGCTGTATCCGCGGAGAGATTCAGAGCTATATCGTCCGCGCTAGTGGAACAACTCCCTCTGTCGCATTAGAGGAAAATTGCGCATGAGCGTCCCCTCCCCAAGAAAAAAAAAATAACGCCGTCGCCCCAAGAAGTCTTCCAAGGAGGCTACTGAAGTACGGTTTGTAGTGACAAAAAATACATCGTAAAACAGAAATGACAAGGTGAGCAACTGTTCATGGAGACCAAACTTTATTTGGGAACACACCGGAAGACGATCCGCTCCTCTCATTCCCGTAAGGCTGCCTTGCTTCCAGCAATCGCTGATTTACCTTTTACCTGTACTAAGTTTAATATATGGACTTAGGTCCTCCCGTGCATTGTGGCACGTACATAGGGCAGCAAGTTGTCTCCACTCAGGGCGGTTTACCTATTTGAAGACAACAAAATTGAAACCAAATCAAAACAATGACAGACATCTTGATGATCCGATAGTGAGAGGGTTGCAGACACATTTTCAAATTTATCTGTAACCTTCTAAAAGTCTATACATGTAGGATGTATCCATGTTTGGTGTTAGCTAAGTTGTGCTGTTGTTATGAGAGGGAATGGACGCTGTCCTGTGGTTACTTCAGTTCTCTTATTAGGTGCTAAGATGAACAATGTTTCACAATGCAGATGTATACGTAGAAGTAGCTCTATGTGTTCAGAAAAGTGAGATCCAAAATCTCGTACCTTTTTCTACATGTTAGGGCAGATAGGGCAGCACTCCCCGGCGATGTTTATCTTGTTGGGGCAGGCTAGGGATGGACAGAAAACCGGCAGGCATACAGGCGGCTCATCGGCTTCATAGCAGGTGCATTTCGTGCATGCGTCCGGCTGTAGGAAGAAGGAAGTTATGAAGGGAATGTCCATAATACCTTCCTAGATCTTAATGTGCTCAGTACAGGTCGGTCTGACAGCACATAATGACATATTTAGATACAGTATATAGTATTTAACGTGCATAGAATATTGATAAATTGTGTCTGATGATTTCAAAGCCCTTGCGACAGGTTTTGACAGAGAGGTGTAAGTAATATCTCTCACCTTGAAACTGTTGTTCAGGGGAATGACCATACCGTTGTAAGGACAACCCACCGGAGCTGAAATAACGCCAGTCAAAAAAATCAATATTGTTTTATATCAAGGTCTAATACTCAACCCGTCATACTGCAGACCATACGTCAAATATCTTTGAGACTGAGTTTCCTGTTGAAATAAAAGATGCATGCCAACGTTAAGCAAATGATCAAATAAAGGGCTGTAATGCTAGACAAAGCCGCTAGAGATCCATAATCTAGGATCCAAGTACCAAAAATTGTCACAGTTGCTACGTGATTTTGATTTATCTCGATAGCCACAGATAATTATTTACAATAATCGACTGCAGTTCCACAGGGGCCCGCCAGAGTTCACTTGTCAACTGTCTACCGCAAAAGCCTTAGAAATCCAGCGAAACTTTTTTGAGGTATACCTCATCGTAAATAAGTGACAACAAACTAGCCACGGTCTAGGTTTGATAATGTATGACGTTGCGGATCAAACCTTCACAGACAGGGCAGCACTGTCCTGCGATCTGTGCCGGTGAGTCGCATTCGGGCGGAAGATAGCAGCCCGGGGTGAAGCACGCGGGCTCTGCTCCCGCGGCCGGGCAGGTGCACGTCATGCAGTTATCCACCTGTGAGTGAAGTACAGTTATCAGCGCACAAACATAGATTGTTTCGAAAAAAAGGTGGCAAAACTGCACACAGTAGTGGAATAACAGGCATCATATTCAACAGTTTAGATCAGTTTAGACTCGGCTCTCGCGGATCGACAGATGTCAGTTTTACCTTGTAATTTTCGCCCACCAGGATGAAGCCGTCAGCGTGCTCACAGCTGTTCTCGGGGCAAACAGGGCAGCACCGTCCCTCGATGTACACGGGGTTGGAACAGGAAACTCCACAGCCCCTACCTGAGCAACCCATACTGCCGCCTGAGCAGCGACAACTCGAGCAGGCGTCCATCTGTAGAGTGGAGGTAGTCATGAATAGAGTCGGATGGAGAACTACGGGAGAGGTTTAACCAACCATACAACACCGTGGACGGAGAACTGGTAAGTTCTTGACTGTGCAAGTCTTTGTCGATGAATGAAATTGGATATAAATCAGGGCCCTTCAACATTCCCTGAACTGAGACGGAGGGCGTTACATAGTCTCCATCAGATTCCTTTTGCAGGCTGAATAAACAGTAGAAATTGGCCTAAAAGGGGGATATCATTGGCCAGAGAAGATGTCCGCCCATAGAAGCTCCATTTTACCTGCACGGCGTTACAGGCTCACAGGTACATTTGAGTCACGTCTCTATAAACTAGCTCTCACCTCATAAGTGGCTCCCATGGGGATGATCCCGACATCGTGATTACAGCCGAGGCAGCAGGGCGGGCAGATGGGGCAGCACTGTCCCGCGATCCGTATATATTGTTGGCAGGCAGACGAAGCGCCACAGCCGCCTCCCGAGCAAACCGCTTCGTCTCCGTAGCAGTGGCACGACGTGCAGTCACTCGGCTGTAGAGTGGAATCATCAAAATGATTGTAACAGTTTATTACAGCTTCGTGTCTGTGAATACACGTACGTCACAGCTAACAATGTCGTAAACAAATGGCTGAATCAAAGGATCATCGGTGCAGTTGCCAACTAACCATCATAGTTGCCAACTAACCAACCAGAGACTGAAAGGTTACAAACGTTAACTTTGCTGATGACAAATTTTTGTTCTGTAACAGTTATATCCGAAAATTTCTGGCCTCTCAGGTCAGTTCTTTCAGACAGGTGTCAGTCTTAGCTCTTACCTTGTACTCTTCCCCGAAGGGAATGATGGCTCCATTGTACAGACAGCCGGCAGGAGCTGAAATGATGTCAGTAAATTGATCACCAAAACGGCTTTCTTTCACGGTCAAAACTCAACTATGACTTAGAACCTAGATGACATTTTAATCTAAAGATAACCGTAAATTGATGTCATTAAATTGATCACAAGACGGTTTTCTTTTACGGCCAAATCTCAACTGGTATGTCCTAGAACCTAGATGACATTTTTATTGACAGATAACAACGAACTAACCTTCGAAATCACAGACCGGGCAGCATTGCCCCGCGACCCTGACGGGGTTATCACAGGGCGGAGGCGCGCAGGAGTAGACGGCACAGGCCGGTGCCTCTCCCGCGGCGTCACAGGTGCACATGGTACAGTCATCCGGCTGTAGGAGGGGGGGGGGGCAGGAATGTCATCTTCCAGCTGTCTCAATGTGTCCCAACAATATGTATTAATAACAGTACTCTTAAGGTGAAGTACAAAACAATACTCTGGTTCTGACCTTGTACTCGTACCCCACGGGAATGACGACTGCATTGCCGTACATACAGCCGGCCAGAGCAGCTGAAATGGTGTCAACATTGCATTATTTTGTAAAAATCGATGCTTGACTCTCGGAAGACATATATGGCCTGGTATAGGTTGCATATTACTTCGTGTATGTTGAACTACCACCAAACAATGAAACAGGAAATGCTTTTTGTATTCACTATTGCACTAGGATCTAACCTGCGGATGCGCAGAGGTTCGCTAGTATACGGTAGGCGACCTTGCAGGGGTTGTACTCGCCCCTGAATAGGCGGTCCTCGCTACCGGTGATGGTCTCGAGCACATCGAAGTCCACACGACCCGGTCCTCCAATACCCACAGCGTACAGGTCGATTCCCGCGTTCCTTGCTGCGATAGCCTGCGCTTCATAGTCATCCATTGTCTAACAAGATAATGGCAAACTTTACCCCGTATAAACGGTGACAAAGAGTTTTAAAGGTGGCTGCCAGCGTAAAACTCTTTCCATTAGCCATTAGTCTGAAAGCTCATCAGTGTAATCAACAAAAAGCCTCACCGATTTTTTGACTGAAGTGGAATATTTAACATGTTGCCATCTTGAATTAATAGACAGCAAGATGTAGAAATATGACGATTTCAATATTACATTACGTGCAAATACTGTATCTCAGAACATAAGCCGGCTTCTCAATTCAAAAACTGCAAATTAAAACGGTTTCTTACCTGTCCGGCAGCGTCACTTTGAGGCATCCCGTCTGTCAGGATTACCACTGCCTTGGGTACTCCATGACGGAAACTGGTCTAAAGGAACAAATCAACAAACAAGTAAACAAACAAACAAACAAACAAACAAACAAACACACTCAGACATGATTGAAGATGGGGTATGGGTCATTTCTCACCAAGATTTAAAAGTTCTTTACCCCCTAGATCGCTTGTGGTTAGCCACCGATACTGTCTGGTCGATTTGACAGTGTCCGTGACTTTGCCACCAAAGATCTGCTTAGAGATTACTAGATCCATCCAGCAAAAACATCTCTCTACGATCGCGACTTCCGTCCCATTACGGCCCATGATCTCTCTAACTCCTGCACTAGAACTGACTGCCTTACCGTGGCTGTCATGAAGCTGATAGCCTGCCCGATCCGGCTCAGGCCTCCTTGTCGCATCATCAGACTGATAGCGGCAGGCAGGCCGGCGTCGGCTGCCGTGTACATGCCCAAGGGAATACCTGTTCTCGGTACGCAGTTGAACAGTATAACTCCGATCTATGGCACAACAACAAACAAGAGATGTATTCATGTACTTCCTATTTCTATCTTCCCTGAGAAGGTTATGTTTTCTGATCCCTGGTTAGATTACTAGTAGATGCAGATAGGTGACAGTCGATAATTGCAAAAGGTGAAAGAAAACAAAGGTGAAAATAAGTAGATTTGGTATCAGTTTTATCAGAACTAGAAATCCCAGACTCACTCCAACATCCTGGTCCGTGAAGCATTGCAGAAAGTCGATGATGAATTGCTTGGCGCGGCCGAACCAAGAGCTCGATACGCTCGAAGAATCGTCCACGATGAAAACAACGTCGGTGGCGCAAACTGTAGTGTCGGAAAGCGTAATGAACGTATGTTAGAAATGTTCTGCCCAGATTTCCTACGTGTCTGGTACCGTGATACTAACTTTCATCCAATCCCGGTGATCTTTACGCACTTGAAGAGGAACTCAACTAAAGAAGAAAGCTAGTGACGGATCAGACAACATGTACATTGTTGTGAAAAACTTTCATCACAGATAAACAACGAAATGTTCAGGTACTGAATAGTACCCCCTGGTCCCCGGTGATTTACCGGAATACAAAGGAATACACCAGAATACAAAAACTGCGGTTGGCTCTTTTCAGCGCTATGATTTTAGTATCAAGGCTGCGATTCCACGGGTACTGTTTAACCAATAAACCACTTATTAATAATACACATAAACGAGGGTGAAATCTTTCCGAATCCACCCCCCCGTGCTGGTAAATCCTTTTTATATATCATATTAAAGTGTGGGTTTGAATTGCTGAAGATCCAGGTTATTTGGGAGCCAAATCAAGTTGAGTTAAGTTGCTACATTGAAAATTTGGACGGCGGCGAATATTTGCATCATACAGAAAAAAATAGATAAAGATAAACAAAGACGCAGTCACCTGGGGCGACTGGCGCCGGGGGTTCCGGCTCGGGCGCGGGGGGTACCGGCTCGGGCGCGGGTGTGGGGGGTACCGGCTCCGGCGCGGGCGTCGGGTAGTTTTCTCCGCTTGTCTGGTGGATGGAGACGAACATCACCAAGGTGGGCAACAAGAGTTTCCACATCATGTTTGTTGAAATCTGTGTAACACCGGAATGATACCTGTGCGTCACTTATTATTGATCGAACCGGATCTCTCACCATGAGGATCTGATCTGAAGCTCGCCTGCAACTGGTCGGTGACATTTTAGAACAGCGTTTTTTTTCTGTCGGCTATTCCATAGACCAAGACAATGGCATCATGTATCGTTATATCATTCCAAATTATCCAGATACAAGTATTGTCCAGATAATCCCGAGGCCTAGGCTTTTGGTAGATAAAAACATGCTACGACCAATTCTATGCCCAAAATTGCTATAAAACCACGTTTTGCTGTTGCAGCTAAAACTGTCAATTTTTTAAGGAAGCTTTAGAATATAAGTTGCAATTGTGACCAGAAATGAAATCAGGAATTGAGTAATATGTTAAGACCAACTTTTCCAGCTTTACCGAAAACTAGATGATAATTGGGAAAATCGAGTGGCGTTAAGAATATGTATTACGTGTACGTCATCATAAAATGCATGTTTAAACACTTAATCACAAAATATCTCCTTGTACCCCCCTACAAATGGTGAAGGGCTGGCCACTTTGCATGTTATACATAGTGTATCTGTAAGTAACACAAAATGTGTGTCTTTATGTTACTTGTTGTACTTTGGCTACTTTGGTTCCTTCGTACTTTGTCAGAACACGGACGTATAATGTCCTTGGTCAGAAGGTATACAGTTGGCTGCATTTTTGTCCGAGAAAATTTTTAGTATCCGTAGTTCTGTACATGTTCTGTTCGGTCATCCTCGTCAAAGGTGAAGCATGGTATCATACCTTTTCTACCCATATCCGTAGACCAGCACAAAAAAGTTTATTATTAGGATTAGAAAAGCTGTGGGTGGGGTGCAGGAGCAAAGACATTGTCCAATCCTTTTAGTTCTGTTCCCGTTTGTAACAGGTACAGCAAATATTCTTGTCATGTACCTAATAAAGCTGTATTATCCACAGACTGTCCATTGTATAGTAAGTATGTCAAGTTTGAATGGGCGCAACTCATCGTTATCCAAAAAGTCAAAAAGCAACGACACGGGTTGTATCACTTGTAGTACAATTTTCTGTACTGAAAGTGGAGAAATATAAAACCTGGAAAATTAGCCCTGATCTTGGAATGGCCGTTAGCTTTTTAATGAGACGAGGCAACCGAAAAACCACCAGGATTCAGGTCTCCGCAGCACTTTTTGTCTTATCATTGTCATGAACTGTAAATGTGGCAAATGTGCAACAAACTGCAACTTGCGCTAAAAGGCACACGAGATTTCATGCAACTGTCGTCGGTTCTAAATGGATAAAAAACGTCAACTCTCCGACGTATGAAATCATTGGACGTCTTCAATTCGTTAACGCTATGCCCTGTTGCGATTGCTCAATGCATATATTATAATTACAAGGTGACATCCAGAAATGCAACAACAAAAATTATTGGAAATTCATTTGATTATAGGGATCATTTGGTAAGAGAAGACTTCTTACCGACTGTTATATCTCGGGAAATGCCGGTAGTTGATGTCGTGTTGGTATCCCCCAGTCCAGGCTCACTTCACCAGACCACGGTCCGTGCGACACAGGTGACAACGACGAACTCTGAGGGAGCGTCCGGCACAAACCGTTATGAGCCGAAAATCCACGTCAACAGTTACTTCGTTATCAATTATTACTATCAGGCTACGTCATAGTACGATTCTTGTCAAGGTTGTAGCCTCTATGAGCAGGCTGTAGCTACGGTAGCGTTTGTAATATTGCTGGTTTTGCTCAGTACTTATTGTCTGGTTAAGGTTGCAAACCATATCCAGCAACATTCGTTATACAAACGTCTTGCAATGAAACAGCTAGAGCATATTTACTTAAACAAAACAAAACAAAACAAAACAACACACAGAAAGAGTGAGTGAGTGAGTGAGTGAGTGAGAGAGTGTCAACACGTCAATACAGCCGTCGATAGAGCCTGCTATAGAGGCTACCAGGATGCACACACCTCCCCGACACGTAGCTCTGTCTAACAAGGGGGCTATAACCTCCTTGTTGACAGTAAACAGCCATGGTGCGCAGTTGCGAGGCCAGTGCGCATGTTTTGTCAGTATCTACGTTTTCACCTCTGACCCGACCGAAGGACAGATAGATATCTGTTTTTGAAATGCCCCCCTGTGACCTTCAAGGTGAGAGGAAAATAAATTTGTTTGAACATACTATCAATTTTTGTCAACTTTCTACAAACGCACCAAAGCAAATATTTTCATCTAGTATGTCTTGTGAACGTCGCAGATGCAAAATTTTGGAAGAACATTATTTTTGTTTTTGTCATAAGGTTTTTAAATCTTTGCCCTGAGGTGCGGGGAGATATGAATGCGGTGAGATAAGACATGAATAAAGATATAGAATAAAGATATGAATAAGGACAATGTGGAACATGCAATGTGGCCACCCTTGTTTAATTAAAATGGTAATTTTCTAGATCAGTGTTTCCTTAGTAGTGGAAGACTTTTTTCTGTAATGCGTGGGTTGCTGAATATTGATGTGTTGGTATGTGGTGTCGATCTTATAGCTACATCCTTGTTGATTTATTTTCTTTACCGTCTTTTGTAAATATCATTGATATTTTACTGTCGTCACTCTCAAAAGTATGTTTGTTCTACAACTAACAGAAACATCCCTGGCCAAAATGTCAACAGCATGGCAAGATATGATATCACTTTATTGATTGCAGCATGTTTTGCAAACTCCGGTGACTGCACAAGAGATGGTGAGAACAGTAATAATCCAGTGCATGCCTGTGACTTCCCTGACAAGTAAGCTGAGTTTCAATCAGTTTCTTTTTGGAATCGGAGTCTGGAGTTTTAAATGTCATTTCAAATCAAATGTTCCTCTAGAGGAACTTGGGGTAACAAGTCACACAGTGAAAAGAGACATTGCCTTTGACAACTTTGTTTTATTCAACTGACATTCAATTTACTTACACAGACTGAATATGGCAAGTACTTTTAGGTGTTCAGATTTAAAACCTCTTTTTACATCTCTGAATATACATGTCTCACAGTTTATACTTTACATTCAAATGGTCTAGACTGGAATGTTAACAACTCAAAGATTTAAACTAGCATTAACTTTGGTTCATGAATAACTTCTGGTACTGCATTTCAGGCTTGGGGTTATAATAAGAATTTGGCAACAGACTTTGATATTCATTGACAACTTACGTGGCATCATTTAAAATTTCAGTAGCAACAACCTCAGTCATCATTTTCTCTACATCTTAAAATTTCCGTAGCGACAGCCTCAGTCATTGCTTTCTCTTGTTCACACTTCATGAAAAGTACTAATGTTAACAATAGTCACATGGATACTTTCTTTCTCATGACTAAAACACTATTCAGCAATTGTCGAGATCTTCACACACAACACTACCTTGTTTCACACACTACTACCTATGAAATCACTGTGCTACTGTGCTCCAAATACACCTGCACTCCTTTACTAGAATATATCAGTCTGAAAAAACTGTTCTAGTTCTAGTTCTACTTCAAATACTTGTCTTCCTTCCCCCAAATGTGTTTGGGTGATACTAATAGCTCCTGTATTCTACATGTATATGGTTGTGGCAAGAAACAGCATGTTTGTTCTCCAAGTCTTTACAGTGATTATTTCCCTTTAACGCCATACTTAACATCCTGCGTACACTTTATATGGACCCTAAATGTATCTATTAGTTATTTGTCACATTCAGTTTTCTCACAGTTGCTACCACATCTATTCTCATCACTGTAAAAATTCAATAATCATGTCCTTCAGATGCAATTTTTCAAACATTATAAAGTGTGCACAACATTTTCTAGGGGGAAGTTTGCATTTCACAGACATTACACAAGAAACAGGAATGACAAGGTGATGTGAAGGTCATATCCAGCCCAGCTGATATGACATAGGGGGGGAGCTACTGTGACAGGCAGGGGCACCATAGCAGAGGAAAAGAAGGGGCAGGGGAGGCTACTATGATAGGGAAAGGGACTTAACATGGCAGGCAGAGAAAGGATGGGTAGGAGATACCATGGCAGAGTATGGGGGACAGGGCTACCAGGGCTTATATTTTTGTAGCAGCTGTGTCACCTCTGTCTGTGTGGTGCGGTCCTAGATATGGGGGAAAGGAGAGGTGGGTATGGTTAGTATAAAATGTGTTAAGCCAGACAATTAGACTTTATTACATGTCATTACATCTGCTTGGTCTGCAAACAAAAGCCTCCATCCTTTTGGACAATGAGCCATGACTGATAAATGACACCCTTATTCAGTAATAACTCAATGTCTTACTATTGCTGGCAACCCTTAAAAATATGTACCGGTAATGATTCCTTTCCCAGGCAAAGTACTGCCATACATTAAAGTCAAAATCCACTTATTCTAAATTAAAGGAAGAGACCAAAAATAACATTTAGAGGAATTTTGTACCTCCTCATCATTGATGGGTTGCTGCAATGCCTTCTCTAACCACAATGTGGCATTGCAGTAGTCACTGTTCTGGATGTAGCACTGAAACATGGACAAGAAAAGATATTAGGAAGCTCCAATGGATAGATGTAATCTAACAGAATGCTCCTTATCACAATCAGAAAGGTAACCATCATCACTTTTATACATTTCCAGTACTTATAGAATAGGTCTGGTCTTATAGAATTTCAAACCCCTTGACTTCTTCTGATAACATCCCCTCAAAAAATACCTACCTTGGCAATGTAGAGGGAGTTAGCCTTGTAGAAACCTGGCTCTAAGTTCTCTGCCTGTAGGAACATGAACAAGACACTGGTATCATGTTTGTAAATCAATATAACAGTGAATAACCCTTTACATCTTGGCATCATGACTCAGATTACCAGTGTGTTCTACATCAAAGTATAATCATGTATATTGACAAAGTCTAATACATGTATCCTTTCAACTCATCATTGTTAAAGCTTAACATAATACAGCTGCTCTACCTTACATCTATTGTAATATTTACTATATCAGTGTGCCCTTATCATTGTAATTTTTACCTACTCACCTCCACGAAAGTAGTTCTAACGCCTCGTCCACAGAGGAGTTTGGTAGGCGCAGCAAACAATGCAGATGCCACTTTCTCTCAACCCAACTTAACATGGTGACCTGGAAGGGAAACCAAAATCAACTTTCTGCTGTAACATGTGCTAAAAACTGAAGAAAAAACACACCATCATCGCACAAATCACCAACATAGCATCATGTCAGGGTTACAGAGTCAGTGTGATGTTCTGTTACAACTCTGTTTTGTCCAAATAGCTGCAGTACATGTAGATATCATTTGTTTAAAAATGTCAACGATCTGGTTAGCCTTTTATAGATTCAGCTTGGTGTAGTGTGAGTGTGAAAAGGTGAGGGTACTTATGGGGTTCTGCTGGCATCTGATAATGAAATTATATGGCCAACTTGCACATAAATATGTGCCAGTATAATTTACCATAAACCTATACTCTTGTTTTACAGCAAAAAGTCAATTACGTGTTCTAATAAACCCAAAGCATCCTCTGGTTTGTGTTACCTTCTGTCACACACAAGAAGGCATGGCAAACAGAAAGACAAAAGTGTAGTGAGATTTTTCACCCATTACAACATAACAAAATTGATTTGCAAATCAACTAAAATTAACAGAGGAAGAATAAAGTAATGTCTTAAATCAATGTATTACATTAGTACAGGAATGGACAGAAACCAAAAGCTAGGAGGTCTATCCTTAGTGAAATGTTATGGTAAGAATATGAGCACTGAGGGCAAGTTTACAAAGAGTACTTCATAAAATCATAAAGTACAAGCTTTCAATCAAAGTCAGAATTTACTGGCATTACTACTCTGCATATCAGAACAGTTCCAAGAGAGACAGAGATAGTAAAATGGCAGGAAACCATGGCAACGGGACAAGTTTACCTCGTAACACCACCTCCCTAGAAGATGATGAACTGTGGCATCGTTGGGCCGCAGCTCCAGCGCTCTCTCGATATGTTCCTACAGAGAAAAGTCTCAGAGTTAATTACACACTTCTCAATTGTTGCCTACTAGCCTATGTGCATAGGCCAGTATCTGGCCCCTTCCCAAGGCTTCCATAAGTCTCGTCAAAGACAGCCCTTGACCTCAAATTCCAATTCTGTTTTATACCAGGTCCCAAGTCTCTGGTCTTTCCACCTGATTGATTCTCAATTGTTAATAATTGTTCCATCTGGCATTAGTTTAGACATTTGCTATTGATCCATCGAGTTGGTTGTTTGACTGGATGGTTGGCAGATCAATACTTTGGCAGATTCATAACAACTGCATACAACATTACCTAAATACATACTGTAAGTGACAACACAGCCTAATGCAAGTGTCTGCTTAGCTGAAAACATTGTGACATGCATAGACTATAAACGATAGATTATGAACCAAATATTTAGCAAATGCACTATAATCTACAAATGATAGTTTATTACTGCATTTACCTTGAACTTGTACCCATCCTTGATCTTGTCCTGTACTGACAGGAACTCACTGCAGGATCCCAGTGCAATGGCAAACCTGACGAACAGCAAAACAGCAACGATAGAACAACAGCTCAGCAGTGTTCATAAAGTAACATACTGTAAATCTTGAAATGTTTCAGTGATTTTATCATATTCATGTTTTTTGCGGTGACCTGTCCAATGCAAAATCATGATGTCGCAAATACATGTATGTGTATGCAAGAAGCTAGATATGACCAATGAATAAAGTCAACAAGTCAGTCAGTGTGACTTCTTTGGTTGGATTAAGAACTATTCATTGAAACATTTAGGTTCTTTGGTCAAGCTATTGTCCAAGCATGGGCAAAAGCCTCCAGTACTACCTTAGACTTACTTAGACTTAGGGGCTCCCGCGTCTCGTGACGCATGAGGCAGTCAAAGCAGCCCAGCTTCCTCTGTCAGCAGCCAGCCTCAAGGCTTCCTTCCAGCTCATGCTGACTGCCTGAAGGTCCCTCTCCACTGTCTGTCGCCAGTTCATCCTTGGGCGCCCCCTTCTTCTCCGTCCTTCTGGGAACCACTGTAGGACTTGGTTGGCTAGTCTGACAGGTGGAAGTCTGACAGCGTGTCCTAACCAACTGAGCCGGCGTTTGCAGATGATGGAGGACACTGGTTGTTGCTTAGTTTGAAGTCTGATGTTATCATTCGAGATAAAGTCATCCCATCTAATGCCCAGGATTTTCCTTAGACACTTGCTGTCGAAGGAATCAAGTCTCCTTTCTTGACTTAGTTTCAGGTGCCAGGTTTCGCAGCCATACAAAAGTGTTGACAGGACGTTGCTGTTGTAAAAGCGCATCTTGGTCTTGAGGGACAGTTTCTTGTTTCTCCAGAGTTTGCCCAGCTGGTTAAATGCTGCTGAAGCCTTACCAACTCTGCACAGAACTTCAGCACTGCCGCTGTGCTGCAGAACATATCATGGAAAACCTTCAAAAACAGACTGTAAAAATTTGTCTCCTCAGAGTCTAGTTTTTGAAGCTCGAAATTCATTTTTGGGAATAGGCACCAAACATAAACATTGAGGGGCACATTGAAAATTTGAGAAAATAAAGCACAAAATGTAATTACACACCTTAATGCCTCTTTTCAGGGGATGAATCTAAAATTCTATAGTATAACTAACTTCAAAATTTTATATATATAATACAACAAAGGTTTTATTATTTTGCTACTACATGCACTACATGTTGTATATTACTGTGCAATATGGCATAGTACCAATTAAGGAACCAATTGCTACATTGGGAAGCCCACTGTGATCATCATAATCCTATTTAGGTCAACCATTAAAAATTCTTAAAGATGCAGGGAGTGAAATTGTCCTAAATTGATCCAAATTGGCCTAAAAGACGACTAACACATCATACCCATTCCTTTAACACCCTGATGACTTAGCCCAACAGCAACAATAACCAATGATTGGGGCCTCAGTAACAAGCTGCAGGAGAACTGATTGGGTTAATAGGCCAGACCAATTTATTTCCCTCCCTCTCAGACATCTCATTAAATCTTAGCAACAGCACCCAAATCTTACTACCTGCATATTCACACACTAAAACTGTGTGAACAAAGGTATAGACTGTCCATAGAATTTTATTTGTCTTCACATGTAATACTGTAAGTCTCTTTAGATTCGCGGGGCCTAAAGTTCACGGTTTCGGGAAAATGGACAATCCGCGGTATTTTTATATTCGCGATTTCCCCTTGGCTATTCAAAGAAGATTACTTGTAAAGTGCATATTTAGAAATAAGAAAAGTTCGTGTCCCGGCATTTATCTCCTAAAATGCGGCGCAAAAATGTGTTTCGTGCTCCACGCGAGGCTGCCTGCATGCTCTGTCGGTATGCAAATCTTGCATCACATGTCCGCGCTACGCGTCTCTGATTGGTTGACATTGCGTCAGTGCCGGCGGTAACTTGAGCTCGATCGACCTGACGCGCGTGTAAACAATTTTCTTTGCTCGGAAATAAGCGCTAAACGTTATTTTCCACGACTACACATCGGTACTCAAGTGAAGAAATGCATAATCAAAAGAATCTTTAGGAAAAAAAATATATATTCCTAAGCAAATTTATGCCGTCTTCGGCGAGATTTTGTCGTTCAGTATGCAACGACCGGAAGTATGCAAAGGTCGCCTTCGGTAGGCTCACGCTAGCGTTTCTATCGAGCAAAATAAGAAAAAAAAACACCCGCAAAAGAGAACCAAATAACATTTCCCAGATACCATCAGTTATATTTTTCATCAAAATATTTGTAGATTTGCCCGATGTGCCCGCAATTTTCGGGCGCCGGGCGCGCATGGCTTAGCGCTAGCAAGATTTTTGTCGCGAGTCGGGCCGTACGCGGTTAACACGGCCAGTGCCACAGTATCGCGATTCGGTGTCTCATAATATTATTTTTGACATCAGTATGACTTAAATAATTTTGATACTCAACAAGCTGTACGTACATTTGCTTAGAATAAAGTTGATTTGGAGTGATTTGTGGATCGCGTGTGTTATCAGTTGTGTTAAATCGGTTATACTTGAGGACCGTCGTGAACGCATGTAACAGTTAACACATTTACATTTACGCAAAACATATTCGCGGGGAAATAGATTCGCGGTACAAAGGTCCCCGCGAATTCCGCGAATCTAAATATACCGCGGAAATTTGTAGACTTACAGTAGTTTGTTTTCATATCCAAGAGCCAACAAATTGAATTGGTGTGGCCTGAAGAACAAAAGCAAGTGTGTACCATTATCTTGTAATCATGTACCTGCAGGGCCATTCCATGGTGAATAAAATCTATCATGGATTGCCAATCATTGCCATGCATTGTTACAGTAGATGTAGCACAGGTGTACTTGATCAGGTGCTGAGAGTCAATGTTATCACAGACTCAGTATTACACCAATCCCACCACGGGGCCAACTAACATCAAATTTCACCCAAAAAGACAAAATGAACAGGTACAGAATAGCAAGTTCATCCAGACACTTCTTTGAATGCATAACAACACCCACATCAAAGAGCGAGCAGATCCTAAAGCTATCTGGCCTCATTGTCTCCACTTTGCATGGCTTTTATGCGTGGTCCACCACTACATAATGTAAGAATAGATGAAATCAGTCCCAGTCAGTAGCTTTCAGAAAGCTTTTTAGGACAGTATGTTTCACAAAAACAGTTTCACAATTCTGAGAGTTTTCCTGTCCCTGACCTTGGTGCTGAAAAGTGAGTTTGGTTGTGATTGGGTTCAATGGAAAGTCTGAAGCAGTCAGACTGTAAAACTGCTATTCCTGACAGGATGGCCACACAAAATCAACTTCATGGATTGCTTCCCCTGGAGATTCTTCATCTGATGAGACAGTGCAAAAGTGCTTCTGCTGTGACCGATATGAGTATAAGAAAAGATGTGAATGATTGTCCAAGTAAATAAAATACAGAGACTCTGTCTTTTAGTTCCTTTTTAACACATCGGGGCAAGAAACAATTGATCAAATTGTCATGGCCTAAAACTAGTTGTACGGCAAATTCACATACTCATCTAAACATCCCAATTCTATGACAACTTAATGTGCTAAAATCCACCTTTCCTAGGACAATACTGTGAAAATGGTAAGTTTGCGAACCTTTTCCTTGAGCTGCAGCAGCATGTTGTAGGCCTCCTCCTTGTTCTGCAGACTGCCGTTATGGAGGGTGTCGACTCGCACCAGGCTGGCCTCCAGCTCAGACAGCTGCAGCGCGCCCTCGTCAAACGTCACCGCCGCGACGTCCGAGTCGGTATCAGGCGGGGTCATGTACCTGGGGAGGTGAAAGGTCAGGAATGTCAGATGGAATCATGTCCCTGAGAGAGGTAGAGGTTTCCTACATTGACTATTCTGTACAGGCCCGGCACAAGTAAAGCCTTACAGCCTTATTAGCAAATGAAACACAGGCGAGGTCTGATTCTCTAGATTGGCTTTGCCGTGCTGCGTGCTGATTGGTCAGAATTTGTGTCACACAGACTCACCAATTGGTGTTCAAAGGGAGAACCAGTTACAGAATGAGTCAGACTTGAAAGCTTGCACTACAGATTCTGAAGCAAGTCAGAAATGGGAAGAAACCTATGACAAATTGGAAACTTTACCCTTGTTACAGCAGAACTGTGCTATAATCAACACAAATTTGGTATATAGATGACCCAACAGCAGGGAGTAGGTTACGGTCTACCAATGATGTCTTTTAAATTTGGTGCATAAAGGTCTTTATTCATTGAATGTGGTAGAAAAAGATATTTGTATTGCCTCAGCTGCTTAGCCATTTACAGGGATTACATTATACAAGTGCTGCATATCATTTCCTACCAGACCTATCTGATGAAGGTGTGTGCAAAACATTATAGGGGTTTCCTCATATACTTTTTTTATGTTTAACCATCTTGTGATCACATTTGTAGAACACATCTCTTCATTTTACAGTAACTTGAAGGGTCTCAGAAGTCTCAGACTTCTTAACTTGTGTCACTTGTCACACATTCAGTGAACTTGATGCCCAAAATGATGGTGATGATGATTGTGACCAATGTGGGAGCTGTCACATATTGTCCTTGTCTTACTAAAAACCTTGTGTCAAACTTTCCCCTACCCTGCCTACCTGAGGTCCTGACTACTGGCCCTCTTTATGGCAGAGAACACCCTAGTCAAGGCTGCCACCTCTTCTAACAGTCTGCATGCAACAAAACAGAGACGGGCTCTCCTGACTTCTCGCCATGTACTGTGGAAGCTAGGTGATGAACATAGATTTCCCTAACTTCTTGGTTTCAGAGCTATCTGATTTTTTAGTACACAATGAAAGTGAAGGCAGCATGAAGATAAAACACAAATAATATCAAGGGCTGATTTAAGAAAACACTATTATTAGATGATGTTTCCCAATTTTTAACTAATAGCTATACTTTGTAAATCTCCATGTTTTATTTCGTACGTGTAACGTTATCTTATCTATCGGTAGTTTGCCAAGAAGAGATATGAAGGGTCAGTTTGGCTGTGGTGTTCCTGAAGTACCCCTGAGCTGTATAACATGTGGTTAGTACGGTTTGGTACCAAGTGAAGTGACACGCACCCTCCATCATCCTCATCATCATCCCCACTTGTCACGGACATGTACTCGGACCCACTCGTCACCGAGGCGAAGCCGGAGTTCTCCCGGGCGCGCCTCCGCCTCCCTCCCGACGACGACGCTAGCCTCTCCCGCAGACCCACCACCTCCTCCTTCAGCTTCTCCACGGTGTCCTGGAGCATGGCCAGGTCCCTGACGGTGGCGGGCCGCTCGTGTAAGGCGTGCGGGGGGTTGGTTCTCATCCTGGCGAGGTAGGAGAAAACCATGGCCGACCCTGCGCCCACCAACACGCCCACCCCCACCGCCGCAAGTGTCTTTTTATCCACCTCCACGCCGAACGGCATCGTCCTGACCCTTCCTACGGATCCGCTCAAATCTCGGCACCGTTAGGAAACCTCTAAATTACACATTTCTCAGCAATTCGGCGTCCGAAGCACAGAAACGAAACGAAACACGCCCCGAAACCTTTCCTAAGCTGCGTATACAGACGTCCCAGGGGTGACCCAAGGACAAAGGTCAACGGAAGCGTCTCTCTCCACCAATCAAAGCGCGAGGTGAAGGAATTACTTCCGCTGTGACGTCATAAACGCGAAATTGTTACAAACACTCGAGATTCGAGAAGTCCTTGGGGAAGGCATCAGCAAGCTGAGAACTACGACCAAGACGTTTCGTCACTTCAAACGCAACTGGAAGTGCACAACACCATGCCGTATCTGCTTATCAGCACACAGATTCGAATGGTAACAAAGGGAATATATTTGGCATTCGTAGGCCAGCTAGATACAACATTTGCCGGTCATGTGTGTAGGCATGCCCTTCAGGGGGCGTAAATTATTGTACACTCCAAGACTTTCTTTAACTTTTCCAATCAAATCTTAGTCTTGTTTCTTAGTGTATTGGCAATGAGGTACATCTCAGGATAAAGGTACTAAAATGTTAAGTAAGTATAAAGATAAAACTGAACGAAGATATGTGTGTATTTTGTTTTTATACAGGAGTGTGGTCCCACCATTGTAGGGGATGCGGAGTCGGACAGTGACTTGATGGAGTACCTGGGAGCGACTCTGCAGCAGATGCTAGGAAATAACTTGTAAGTACCAGGACTGCTAGTTGGTAAATTACCGAAATGTTTGTTAAGTTGTAGAACGGAGGTTCCTTTTATACAATTACTGCCATTATGTATAGTGTGAATTGAACTTCCATGGTTGGAGAAAGAAACCTGAGTTACTAAACAATGATTTACTAGTAACTTGGTTGACCTTCTATCCTGGTGGGAAAGCATCCATACACTGTCATTGGCCTGAGGGCCAGTTCACACATTAGAGAACTCTGGGTAATGCAGGGGGTCAAACAACACATCACCATCACATGTATGTGTGTACTGCTTCTGGTCTGTGTTGTCATGGTAATGATTTTGTTTGTCCGAAGCTGCCAGTTTTCCGCAGCATGTGAAGGTTCTATGATAGTTAGAATTGGCGTTAGCGTTGTCCAGTGGTTGGAGTGCCTGTCTGTGAATTGTAAGGTCAAGCGTTTGAATCCCATTTCTCGTCACTCTGCAGCAAAGAGTGGCGTACACCCAAGTCCCCCCGTGTTGTGCTGGACATGTTGGAGAGGAGAGGCTGGAGAGTGGTCGGGATGACGGGGATCGGACAGACCTGCGCGTGGACGTTACACAAGCCGCTGGCACCACAGAAGAAACAAGGGAACCAAGAGAAGGCAGCTGCCAACGGGGAGCTTGCACCACAGAAACTATCCGACATGGACTTATCATGACAGGACTACTACTGACTACCTTTATTACTGTATCATGTACTGTAGATCCTTCAATATTATGAAATCATGCACTTGCAGCCAGTGTTTGGCTCTGGTAAAACTTTGTTGTTTTGATAAATAGCAAGTGATAGCATAGCTGGAAAAAGTATTCATTGTCCTCCTTCCATAGGAAATTACCAACAGCATTGTGGCATATGTTAACTGCATGGGTGTATGCTTAAATTTATTTCAGAAGTTACAGTATATTTCCAGTATTTCCAGCACACGGGTGATTCCACTGCCTAAACATGTCAGTCTACGAGCTAATACCGGGACCCCATTCCTACCTGAGTCTACAACTGAGAGCCACTTGAGGAAGTGAAGTGTTTTTAGCAATGAAGTCAGTGGTGTAGTGGGCCAGTATAGCTGGTTAAGCAGGTGAAAAAAGTATGAAATTCTTGATAGCTCTATGGTAAAGGTTTGTAGTAATGTATTTTTTGTAATTAAATGTATGAAGCGAAGGGATGTGTGACGGATAAAAAGTCTTTAATTGCATGCCTTACATGTTATACAAAACTTCCAAAAATAACATTACACAAAACCTACTGTACAAATAGGAGACTTGTCATAAATTATGAGCAGTACCGATGGTCACAAGACTTGTTTTAACAGTATTATCTACCCATATATTGGGGTACATCTTCAACAGAACTATGAGGAAAAATATGAGTTTGTCTTTTTCACATGTCTTCAGAATCTTGTTCATTTAATAAAGATATCTGTCTATTGGGACTATTAAAAAGACATTTTTCAGAGCTTTAGTTCTAAACTTATACAACTGAACTGTTTTAGTTAGTGTTAAAAGGTCTACTAAGACATGACATTGCCCCCTTGTCAGCTGTTTTTTTCCTCTTCTTCATCTTCTGCCTGCATCTGCTCTGCCAGTCTCTTCCTCTCCTGGGCTTGTCTCATCCTCATAAGAACCAGGTTTTCAAAGTCTTGGTCGCTCAATGTGGCTGAAGATGTCTCCGACCTTGGAGGTGTCTACATAAATTTTGAACATATGTTCAAGAATATGATTGTATTTCTTCAATAAGGGCACAATGCAATCTGCTGCATTGCTTTCAATTATTAATGTTAACCAACGATTGAAAATAGCTGTTGTCCTTAAGGCTCCAGCAGGGAGAAGGTTGAATAGCTCACCTGTGTATCCCACCTGCTGGCTACAACAGGTGTTGGTGCAGCTGCAGCATGTGTTGCCGGGTGTCGGCCCTCCACTGGTTTCCCCGTCAACCAGGACAGTCGCAAGGGGTTGCTGGGATTTCCGACCTCATTCTCCACTGCCATTATCTGGGAAACATTTAAGAATTTCATTCAAAGATGACCTCATGACATCAGCTGTAAAATGGGGTAACGCCAAGTAGGGCTACCAAGTGGAAGAGTGGAGAGTGAAACTATTATCACTTTTTGTAATGTTTTCATTTTTTTCGTACTACTTTTATAGGAAATAATCAACAACACCTTAGGGACAGAAATGATGGTTTCAAAAGACAAGCATTTCATATCCTGATGACAGAAACTTGATGGGTTCAGGCACTTACTGCAGCCTGCTGCTCAGCAAACTCCACAACTGCACTGCCGTTTTTCTTACTGGAAACCAGCAGATTCAATACATCTCCATACTGAAACAACATTATTTACACAATCCATTAACATGAGTGTACCTGTTGAACATTTTGGCCATGTTCCACAAAATGTTGAATCAGTGTGCAACTGCTGTACAATTTCCAAGAAAATGTAGGATACAACTCTTTGTTTTTGCACCATCTGATGACAACATCATATACATGTATGGTAGGTAGGAAAGATGTCAGGCTCAAGATGTTAAAACCTTGCCTTTCTAAAGCAGCTCATAAGGAAGTCGTATGAATATCCTCCATTGGTCTCATCTCCCTTCTTACTCTTCCACTTCACCTAAACAACAATACGGTAGAAGTTAAAAACGTAGAAATAACCAACGACTTATGCAGCAAGTACCTTGCTTTGATGAAAAACATTAGACGACAAGGAAAAACTTGTCCAATTTATCAAAGCCAATATCATAGAGATAAATGTATAAAATCTGTACCTTCAGTTTGGGTGTTTCTACTTCAGTTGATTGTGCTGAATAAAGGCAAAATAGGAACAGTTAGAAGAATACAAATGTGAGAAGTTGACAAACATAAATCATGCATGACCACTGAACAAGACATACTACATGTAGTATATGTTGGCTTTTCTCAAATTTGACATTGCTTCGACAGCTTTACAATAGTGCAGTACCTTCATCTTCCTTCTCCATCTCCAGCTGTTGTCTTAGACGCTCCCTTTCCTCCTCCAGCTGTCTGGATCCTTCTTCTCGTAATCTTTTAATCTGCGAGTCAGGATCAGGGTTCAACATTTGTGACCAGAATCACGTTATTGCACAAAGTAATTCTGAAAACAGCCTTTTTCACAAAATGACACAATAATGGTACATGTAGTTAGTCATAGGTACAGTGAGTACAAAGTATAGTCAAATTATGTCACTTTAAAGAACAACAAGGCAACTTCTAGTTCTACACAGCTTACAGATACATAAGATGCCAAATAGTACAAACATGAAGGAATGTACCCACCTCTGCCTCCAAGTCTCTTGCAGCTGTGAAGTCTGCAGCTTTTTCTGTGGCAGCTGCCTGTTCCCTCACTTCAAGATCTGGAGAAAGACGTAGTATCAATCAAATGATCAAATCAAAACAGACTTATTACACTTAGATACTGTAGTTGCTACAAGACGAAAATTCAATTGATTCAAAGGACTTGTGCAACTGTGAATTTGACTAACCATCCTTGAATTTCTTTCGCTTGCTGTCAAGATGTCTGTTCCTGATTTCATTTTGTTTCCTGGCCCTTAAGATCTTATCATATGCTGCCTGAAAAAAAAATTTTAGTAAAATCAAGGACGTTATATTGGAGATATAATATTGAAGAGGTCTTTTCTGAAGACAGCTGGAGTACACCTTATTCTAGGTTCATATCGAAGTTTTCATTGACAGGTCAGAATCAATCATTATCGCGGTTCACCCATTAAATACAAAATACAAATATTAAACAGCTTAATACAGAACATGACATATCATAAGAGAAAGGATATTTAGACGAAGAAGAACTCACCTTAGCAGCGACATCTGTGAGGACTTCAAGTGCTTTTGACAGCTGGTGGAAGAGTTCAGCTGAAACAAAGTTAAGCAGATGGACAAAATAAGATTCAACACAACTTCAGCTGCAAATCTTCAATCTAATGAAATATATTGAATAGAAAAAAATCAATGTATCTTGTGAAACGCAAAAAAACATGTGAAAAGCAAAAAAAAAAAAAAAACAATTGGATTTTATATTACCACCTTGTCAGCATTGTGTGTATGTTGTCCAGATATAGTACGAAGTATAGAATTCAAATACAAAAATTATGTAAGATAGATATGTGCGTATCTTGAATATCTTCTACTTGATAACTAGCTAGGCCCAGTTGCTGGGTTTATTAGCAAATTGTGAGAGAAGACATATAAACCTGGCTTTAATACCTGCTTTTGGGTTGTCTGGGTTCTTGTCAGGATGGCATTTTAATGCTTTCTTTCTGTAGGCCTTCTTGATCTGTGGCAATATAGTAGTAGACAACAGATAGTAGACATGTCAGTTAGAGTTCCAAAATAGTATCTTGAAATATGTACTTGAATAGATATCGTTACTGTTTCCACTCTTAATAATTGAAAATTGCAACTGCACTATACGCACTAGTAGACATTATATAGACTGGTTTCGTAGTGTGAACGTCATGCCATGCTCACTACACCGGTTACCCCACTCGCTCAATTTCATTGACATTTATTGCTGAGTGGCTGAAGATAATGAATCGAAACTTTGCACGTTACTTGAATGTAAAATGTTCTATCGGAAACAGTCACTATTTGTATCATACCTCTTTATCGTCGGCGCTGGGGTCGATTTCTAACAAACCATACAGATCCAATTTCGCAATGTCCGCCATTTTGTGACTTCCCGCTATGCTTTGCGATGGAATATTCCACTTGCAGATGGGGTACATAAGACACCAGACGTCAGGAACAGAGACAGTAGGTCTGTGCCATTTCTCCTATTATATCTGCTATTTAAGGTTTTCTATGGACAATTCCAAGCCTTCCAGGGATTATCTATGCACGTAAACTCGTCATGATATCCATTAATTACGTCTCTTGCACGTTTACTTTATATTTTATGATTGATGAGCCAGACTGCACTATTGGGCTGGGGAGGGGGGCGGAGTGATATTAGTACCAGATTCACACAACTAAATTATAAATTAAAATGCCATACACATGTATTTAGCTACTGGCAAATAATACTAGTTTTGGAGAAGGTTGCAGTGAATATTCAGTACTATTAGGACTTTGGGCTCAGGCACTTCAAAACACCAATATAATTTTCAAACCCCAAAACTTTGATGATTGTCTAAAACTAAAAGTGCTTTCCAACCCAGCTACTGTGAATTGTGTAAAACTGTGGAAGATCAGAGAATGGACACTGATGTGAAGGTACCTCTGAGCAGAAGGCAGAGCGATCAAGCCAGCAGTAGTGGGGCCAGCAGACAGAAACATAAACAGACTAAACCAGGTGAGTGTGTGTGTCTGTTTCTTACTCTCTCTGTCTACGTTCATGTGTATGTAAAGTATGTAGAAAAGGTGTGTACATATTAGGTCAGACGTTCAAACGGCGACGTTAGCGTCCGTTCGACGTCCGAATGGCTACGATAGGATAGAGCTAATTCTTTGAATAAAGCAAGGTTTTTTTAGTTGAAATTGCGTTCAGACAAGTTTTTTTTTTTTTGTACTCTGTGTTTTTCATTTTACTTTCACCTTTCCCTGCGTTTTCTCGTGTGGCAGACCCGAAGGAGTTCAGAACAACATCTTCCTCCCGTTACAAAAATCTACATCTCTTACATGTAATCCCCAATCAAGTGTCAGTGTTTTACATGTACATGCATTTTAGTGCATGTATGTAGACCAGTTCACGACTGGCAGAGGCCTTACTCAACCATATGCAGCAGTATCAAGGCACTTGGTATGTACATGTATGTATCTATCACATGAGTGAGAAAGCATTGTACTGATTGAGTTTTGATAAAGCAGCTCTGTCTTCTCTGCTTCAGCATACATTTGGTCCCACGAGGAAGTGATGAGATGGTTCAAGAAGCATTGTGCAGACTACTACAGAAAGTACGCAGAGGCTTTTACATTCCACGAAATTACAGGTAATATGTTCTCTTTTTGTGATTACACTTACTAGTAATGGTATCGCACACTGTGATTACACACTGTGGGAAGCTACTTTCCTTAACAGTCTGAGGGTAAATTCTGTACTTTATATGGTTCACACAGTTTCAGGGAGTGCATATACTAGGAGTCTGACTATGACATATTGAAATTAAGATGACACCCCAGCCTATTTTTCATGATGTCATTTTTCAAATGTCTGAGAGTTGAGAAAGTAGATTGAAATGGCCTAGCCTGGGTTCCATCCTGGTTAGTTTATGTCTGCTCCCAGCGACTGTGGGAGCGGACGTAAACTAACCAGGATGGAACCCAGGCTAGATATGGCCTAAACCATTACAATCAGTACAACATGTATTATCATGGTTCATCAATGCAATGCTTTTATGTGGCCTTACTAGAATAATTTCCCCTTTCCCCAGGCCAGTCGCTGATGCGTCTGACGGATGAGAAGCTGGAGAGGATGGGGATCACTGACCAGGAGCACAGAGCAGACCTGATGGGACATCTGTACAGACTCAAGCTCAGACACGAAGGCATGGAGCTCAGGGCACTGGAGAAAGGTGGGGTATAACACATGAACAGCTATGATAGGTTTGGATACCAGGCTACAAAAAGTGTATTTTGAACCTTGCCTATGTTCTACCTATAATGAGCAATGTGGAGTAGGAAATTTGCTGTTTCTGCCTTATTTAAAACATTAACTCAGTATGCCACAGTGGTGTTACCAGTATTCTGCTTCTTTGATTTCAGGTCCAGGTCTGTGCTATAGTGGGTGAGAAAGATGTGTATCCATGACATCATGTAAGCATATCAATCATACCAAGGAAACTGATCCAAGTCTTTCAGTGAGACCCTGTGCCAGATGTACATAGTAGTATTCTTGAACATCTGGGTTTGATAAAGTTTGATAAAGGCCAGTGGTAATCTCCAAGCAGATCCTAGGGTGGCAAAAGACAGTATTAAATTGGCCAGGCAGTATCCATTGGCTAGAGAGGCTTCCCTTGTGTGGCATATTGGACTCTCTAGCCAATGGATACTGCCTGGCCAACTTGATACTATGTCTGGCCACCCTAGGACCTGCTTGCAGATTAGGACATGAATTTACTTGCAAAGATATAGGAAAGACTAAACATTTCCTATATTGAGATATTGCTGTTGAACATTCTACAATGCAACAGTGCTGTTTGATCTATGTTAAAGTAAAGGAGACAAAACATTATTCAAAGACAAGGAAACCACTTTTTATTTATGCTATTTGGTTAAGGAGACAACCAGTGTTTCTTAAGAATTATAAGTATGACATAGTGTCAATTCTGTATACATGTATATGACAACATAGTTTAGCACCATCTGATTTTATTCTACACAAACTATGGCTAAGTGATTCAAGACTAAAAGTTAAAGACTTATCAGTTGGATAATATATTATCATGGCTAGCAGCTAAGCAGTTTACATAACTAAATATTAATCTGTGACTGGTAATAAGTAAGCAATAATTACCCACCAAAATCACCCTCTAGCAGCTTTCAGCAACAACAATATATCTAGTGTGATATATTTAACATGTGTAATATGATTGACTATAATTGGAAGCCTTGGTTGGTGAGATACTTGTTATTACTGGGTGCTTTTACTTCTAATGTTTATTCCATCATGTGATTGGACTATGGCATTTTAAGATGTACAAATGATTGGTGAAGGGAAAGATGATGACAAAATATTTGTCAAAGAAATGTCTCTGTGAAAAATGCTGTCTATGCACACATGGTTAAGTTAGGTCCAATACGTGACCACTAACCACATACAGCATATTCTGGAAACAGTGATATCATAATGGCTATGGTTACGTTGCATGTACATGTAAGATTCCAACAGGGAATGGAATCACTGAATGCTTAATTTTACACATATAACGTTAGACGTATTATAGTTTCCCGTTTAGAAGGGAATGAGTTGATAAGATCATCGCCTGTGCCCTGACAAGTAATTCTTGTGCTTGTGTGAGACAGTGGTTCATTTTCTCTCCAAATGTTCTAAGTTATGGATGTGATAAGTTATAAGCTTGTATTATAAGTGTTGTTAATCTTTTAATCCAACATACATGATTGAATGCAGTGCTCTGTCTATATGGTATAAGACAGGGTAATGTACATGACTTCCATCCAACTGCCACTACAGCATGACTTTCACTGTTCCCCATACTTTATAGCATTCAGGTATTTCTATTCAGTCCTGTTTACAAAGAAGTCTTTTGTTCTAAACTGGAGTAGGCTAGCATACATGTACAAAGTATTTACCAGACACTTCCACTTCCATCTAACTGGAGAGGAGCTCTTCCTAAAACATTTTAAATTTTTCTTACTAGCAAATGAGTTGCCAACACTATTTCTCTTACTGCATATGACATAGAAGCAAATGTATAATCTCACACAAACAAGCAACATTACTGGGACAATTGCTTTATTTACATGTGCAGAAATGAAATGTACAAAAAACAAAAATGGAAGAAAGTTGGCATTTTGGTCAGTTTCTATGTTTCCACCTCAGCGACCTTCTCCAGTGCAGGTGTCGGGACCCTTTCTGGTGCGACAGGGCTGGGGGCTTTGGTGGGGGTCGCAGACTTCTGGCGCTCTGGGGCGGGGGACTTCAGCTTGGGGGGTGCAGACCTCGCTCTCAACTCCAATTTCTGTGTAAAACAACAACAGCTCTCGGTTATGAGGCAACAACACACACATACACGCTAGCTTCCATACTGACCAGTGTTGTTAACTTTAGGTGGTTCCAACACCTGCTGGCTGGCATGCATAAATTTTTTGATCGCACACAGACCTCTGAAAAAATAGAATTTTGCATGTTTACTGTGGAAACAGTTTCACTATCTATCAAAATGGTTAAGAATAGATTTACATATATACTTAAGACCAATATTGGAGAGTCCTTACATGTAGCTTGGCAATGTTGAAGCCGTTGCTGGCAGTGTTGAGTTTGGACCTCTGCTGGGCCGCGAGGATTTTCTCGGCAGCCTTGGATGACCGTGCGGTGAGACTGGTGGGCGGACAGGGCGGGATGGACTTGGGCATGTCCCAGGTCCCCAGGAACGTGCCCCAGGGTGAGGTAGCGGAGCGCGGCACCCCGGGCAGGAGGTGGCCGCGGTTGTTTGCCACGATCTGGGTGAAACCCTCCAGCTTGGTCGGCCTCTGGAGTTGGGACAATTTGGACACAGTTAAATCACTTCATGCCTTTGCTTAGAGTTGGAATATTAAGATGGAGTAAAAAATATCTTTAGATCTTACATAATCTCACACAGCAATGTATGCAGGTATATATCACACATTTGACACATTAACAACTTGATAGTACATGTACACACATATAGTAGGCAAACTCTTAGAATTGGATAGGAATACTGGTACTAGCATGGCACTCTTCAGGAATACTGGTGTAGTATATTTGTAATTTGCAAGCGGGACTATGTATAAACAGCTGGAAGTACAGCCAGGTTTCTTGTTAGTTGTTTCCATTGACAGAAGTGAAAGATGTCGAGTGCACTGACGCCAGCCTTGGGATTGTGCGAAGCTGGTGAAGCATGAAACCCTCGACATGACTTGACTGCAAACTTACCTCCTTGTAGCTGCTGGGCACGTTCCAGTTCTGGAGACGCTTCGGATCGAAGGCATTCTGGTACTGAAAAGTCACGATAAAAACATTTCAATAACACTGAGGCTATAGCAAATGTTCACATGCACAAACACCAAACGTAGAATCACAAAAGGATCACGTTACACTCGCAACATCCCGTGTTATCTTGTGGATGTTAACGATATCAAACACCGGACCAGTTTGTTTGTTTGCACTCAGACATCTGTAATGTTAGATGTTGTAGTTTAATGCTACAAGTCAGGCTAAACACCACAATCGGTGGAGGATGGTGTCCCGAAGGCGATAACGTTATCTCATTGCAGTTACTAGGAGTGACTCCTAGATTGCAACACTTGTAATGTGACAACACTTTGCTTGTAACAGTTTAGCTATTTATTAATGCTGGCGACAAAGCCGACTACCCTTCTTTATCGACAAATACTGTACACCCTTGACAAGGATTTAGCCTTCTATTCGTCGACAATACTGTACTTACCAATGTGTTCCTGTCAAAACAGCAACATATTCAGTGTTTGGGAAACTTTGCCACCGTGAAACAAAACTGTTGCAATATACTAGTACACAACTGTTACAATGTTGCCCCCTCTTTGGGCCCCTCCCCCTGGAACGTGGCTATATACACTCCCGGAGTGTATATAAAATCTATTTGTCTTTTATATACACTCCCGGAGTGTATATAAAATCTATTTGTCTTTTATATACACTCCCGGAGTGTATATAAAATCTATTTGTCTTTTATATACACTCCGGGAGTGTATATAAAACCTATTTGTCTTTTATATACACTCCCGGAGTGTATATAAAATCTATTTGTCTTTTATATACACTCCCGGTGTGTATATAAGATCTATTTGTCTTTTATATACACTCCCGGAAAGTTGATAGGGCATTCGAATGATCTGTCGCCGGTGCGAAGACCGCGCGATCGGCTGTGTTATCCGGAGTCACCAAAGGGACCGGGGCGAACCCCGGGTCGGTCTTCTTGGTCTGATAAATGCACGCCAGACCGTGAGGTCGGCGCTTCTTCCGCATGTATTAGCTCTAGAATTACCACAGTTATCCATGTAGGATGTGACGATCAAAGGAACCATAACTGATTTAATGAGCCATTCGCAGTTTCACTGAGACAGTTTAAACTTGCACGTGCATGGCTTAAACTTTGAGACAAGCCTATGGCTACTGGCAGGATCAACCAGGTAGCGAGGACGCCAGGGGCGGCGACCGGTCTCGCCGCCGCCGCCGGGAGCGGAGGGTCCCGGGCCCCGCGCAAGCGGGCGGGGCGGTCCGCTCGACCGAACTTCGGTGGAGATTTCCGTGTTGTTTTCTGATTTTCATCATCCAATAAGATAAACTTGAAGACCGAGGTTTAAACTTGGTGCCCCTGAATCCTCAAACACTCACAAAAACCCAAGTTTTGGGCCTACCAAGGAGGCTAGTATTTCGGAGTGTATATAAAATCTATTTGTCTTTTATATACACACCGGGAGTGTATATAGCCACGGCGCTCCCCGTGACTACACCTTCGCTCAGCAAATATCTTTTTCCTACGGTTTTGGGCAAAAGGGAAGAGAACGGAAATTCTGGCAGTTACAGCTAATGCCTTTCTCGACAGGTTGTTGTTAAAGTAACCTTCGATGTTTGTTGTGGTAAGCCATCGCCATTGTATCAACCACCAAGTGTCAACATACGGACATTTACCGGCCCGTGAGGCCATGGCGGGTTCCCGCGAAACACACAACGCTGATGTCTGCCTACCTGGTTTGCACTGAAATGGCACGCCATGCTCGTTCACTTGAACCTGCACCACTGACGAAGCAACAGTTGGTTCTCTGTGGTCGATAAAGGCGGACTGTTGAGGGAAAATAAGATCAAGGGCGGCCGAAGTAGCCACTTGTTGACTGTCCCTTCCAGCACTTAGCGTCCCGTTGTTATGGCGACTGCAAGACCCCTTAGGAATATCTGAAAATACCTGATAAGCCTAGCCTTAGCGCGGTTTTAGAACTCAACGTCTTTCACTGCTCTTAGGTATTGGTATCGTACTTAGCAATACTACGCTACAAAGGATTTGCAAACTATCTTAGTGCTAATAATATCGGCAGCTACTACCGGCAAGTATCAATATTTCAATCGCATTGAGTTTGCATTGGAGGTAGGACCCCTTAGGTGTATGGATTTATGCATGATGTCCCTCCTTGGTTGAAGCAAAGAGTCCTTTTTTCTACCCCGGATGCACAAAGAAGGGTAGAATGACCACCATACTCATTTGCAGGCTGAATGGATAATAGAAATCTACCTAAAAGAATGTAGCTGGCCAGGGGAGTTGGCCTAGAGGGTCCAGACTGCCTGCAAACCGTCTATGGGCGACCAACTCCTATAGCCAGCTACATTCTTTTTAGGCCGATTTCTACTATTTATTCAGCCTGCAAAGGAGTCTGGTGGAGTCTAGAATGACATCGATGTTCGCACATTGAAGAAGGATTTCTTTATTTTCTATCAGTCCTTTGTTAAACTGTTTTTCCAAACGTTTCTAACACGAGATTTATAGGTCGATAAAATATTGTATGCCATGACAAAGGTCCGGACTTTCATTGAGATAAATGGTTGGTGTACATGTGTTTACTACGTCTCGTTTGAAATCTCTTCAATTCACAATTTAATTAGTTTCAAACACCGCCTCTAAAATGGACAAAATCTTGGCTCAAATACAGTGTTACGCCTGGCTCGGAATTAGTTTACTAGTCGGACCAGTTGGAGAGTTGTGCACCATGTTCTCCAAATCCACTTAGTGTCCTAACTTGGTCTCCACTTAGAAGTTGTCGGAATGGTGACTGTCAGATTTGTGGTTCGGATTCGCATTTGTCTTTCCACGTACCTTGAGAAGGTCTGTCGGGGAGAGCGACATACTAAACAGTTTAACTAAAGGTGCTGATTTAGGTAATCTCCAAGCAGATTCGGTGGGGCAAGGGGACTTTATATATTGGCCAGTCCTGTATCCATTGGCCGCCTGTATCCAACGTTGTAGGTGGAGGTGTGGTGTTATGTCGCTAAGGCCGCAAGACTTTCCGACCTTTAAATAGCTGTTGACGTACTTCGTCCTCTGTTACGAGCATTGGTTCCAGGGAATGTCTCAGAAGAGAACAATAGGTGACGAATAAAGCACAATGTCAGGGCCTATGAGGAAACTGCCTTGAGACCAATCTTATGTACATTTCAGATGGGGTCAAGAGATAAACTAAGATAAACTTAAAATTCATTAGGTTGCAAACAAAACGGAGGAAGCTATAATAGAAAAGTGGCTCAAGCACACGAGTAAGTTTCGCAGAAATGGAATGAACTCAGTGGAATGAACATAACGTCAGCAGTTTTTTTTTATGTCAATATGTCAATGTTTTTAACGAGAGTCATTTCCTCGTCGGATCAAAGATTGCGCAGTACTTAAACAGGTCCACAGCGAGAGGTGCAACATTCTTTGCCGGTACTTTCGTAGAAGGTCCTCGCATTTTTTAAATATAATTTTTGCATCCTCCCTTTGGTAAGCATAAAATAGCAGTTAAAATGCCTCCCCCTGACAAAACGCAGCACGCGTTCAGTCGGCTGTCCGTCGTCAGTACTCTGAGCTCGGAGGGTGGGCCTACAAGATCGGCATGGAGCGGGACGTACTGCGATCACCTGATGACTTCTCGAATCGTCCAGTCGTCATACCTCGGCACCAAAAAGCGCAAAGCATCGAGAGTTAAGGTACGATACATTTCTCTCTGTAAAGGAAAAACAAATTTGAGATATTTTGTACATTTCTAGCAATAGATAGAGCAATGGAAGCGCCAACAGGACACAGCTTGCAAAAAAACTTACGCGTGGTTCTTAAGTATCCACACCAGTTTATACTATTTTTTATCACGAATTTGCTCTGTTTCAGCCAAGCGGGGCTGTAGAAACAGCTCCACCTCCACCACGCATGACCAAGGTAAGTTGTGACTACCGGTTGAAGATGCATGTCTAACATGTCTATTGGTTATGTTCAAAGAAGGGAAACGTTAACGTTACGTACAGAAGTGCACAACGCCACACATGAGCAAAAGACAATCCACTTGCATGAAATGACCGGATCAACTCACGCTTTATATGAATAACTTCTGATGATGGAGAGTTTTACCTCCGTGTACTTTTAAGGTCATTTAGGACTCAAAATACTTTTTGAGTCCTTTCGTTAGCTTGGTGTACCTCCTTTTCTACAAACTGTATCTACATTCATGTTTCTCATCTCTGTTGTAGCCCGTCCACATCGCTCTTGCTGCTAACGCCTGGCGGGATGTTCTGAAGACAGCGGAGGTAACATGTACGCTTCGTGACTTCCACAGTGTGTGTATCGTGGCCATTTATTTACAAAAAGAAAAAAAGTGGAAAATCTGGTATGAGCTTCATGTGTGCAACATACTTTACGTCCGTACTTATTTTAAAGTTCAATAAAAATATGATATGCAGGTACCTCCTTAACTTGAGCCTTAACGTTCAGCGGGTACATGTACGTCCGCCAGGTGCCCAGATTTCCCGTCACATTGATAGAAAATTGGTAACGGACACAATCCAGCTAAGATCGTTTCCGTGATCAAAAAACGTTTCCGTGCTGGCGTGAAGCCAGGTTACACCACACCAAGACAACAGACTATACATTAAGAGTTACGTCAGAACTTTTAAACAGAACTGGGTCCAATCCCCAGACGATAGAGGTATTAAACTGCCATTTATTTTCTGAAAGCAAATAATTCGCACAGAACTACAGCCAGTGCCTTTTGTGTGCACGTGAAGCAGACGTCCATACAAAGCAAACACAGCATACAAACTGGGGTTTACTATATAACCTTCTTGGTCTAATATTAACCTCTTCAAATAAAGATTTGTTATACAAGTTTTGCTATGTATATATTATGTATATGTGCGAATTAATTCGTGTATTTAATCAAATCTAGGAACCGAATGACGAGGTGCAGATAGAGGAGGATCCTGAAACGGAGAACGACACGTTCTCGGTCGGAATACCTGAGACAGACAGCTGCAGTGAGAGTGGGCTGGGCAGCTCACCCTCCTCGCCTGAGCCAGACACAGACTCGGTAGAAGAGCTAGAGTCGGACACGTCTTCCCTGGAACTAAATGTGCCGGACACCAACCAGATCCGCACAGCATCAGAAATCTCGTAAGTTTCCAATGTCTCCTCAAGTTGCGTACGATACAGAATGTGTATTCACGGCTTAAGTTATACATCTTTCTTTTATTCTTGTAATTGTCCATTGCCCAACTGTTGAACGTTTTTACAGTATTTTTGATGAGCGAAGCCAAACAACTGAGGTGGAGGATCTGGACGAGGACGATCCTGAGACGTTGCCTGTCAAGGTACTAGATTATCTTAATCGAAAATAACTTTGTTGGTGACCGCTGGCTATGGCGACCAAATTTAGGCCCTGCCAAGCTACTAGTAGTTTTTCCCGTTAGCCGTCGTCTTCGTGTTATTGGAACGTCTAAAACCCACGCATGATACGCGCCACACTCACCGAAATCCGTACATCCCTGTTCTAGGAACAGCTAACAGTGCATCAGCCCCCCAGGGCACCGAGTGTTGCTTCTATCCAACCCGAAGACCCTGATGTGGCCATTGTAACCCCGGAGAAAAAGGCTGACGGGAAGAAGAAAAAGGTGTTGCTGTTGGCTTTGCTGGTGGCGGCTTTGGTGGCAGCTATTTTGGGGTGTGTCTTGGGGGTGCTGCTTGGTAAATACCGCCCTACTTCGGTACTTTTGACAAATGAAATTCAATTCGTTGTAGGTCAGACAACAAATTTGACAAATCATCGAGTCGAGCTTTATATATGGTAATTCTGGACATTACATACTTTAATTGCGGTGTAACTGTATTATCCTTTAATTTATTGTCAATTATTAACTTCGTTAAACAACGTCCCCACAGGGAAGCAGTCCCCCGTCTGTGCTGAAGGGCAGAGCTGCGTGGAAACAGTCATCGAATGTAAGACGCATTTTCATCTCAGCTGCCACAGTTTGAATTATTTTAGATTTACAAGACCTGTCCATCAGATTGAACTTGACGTCTTCACTATATTGATATATGTGATGCCTTCACTTTATTGATACTTTTCAAACCTGATGCTGTGTACAGGTAGGCGCATTTCAACATGTCTTTCACATGTGAACCGTTTTATTGAACAATTGATAGACCTTACCTTAGACCTTAGTTCTTCCTGCAACTGATAGACGGGTCGATTAATTGATCGATTGGTGATCATGTGTACAGTGTGTGAGAATGTACCCCTGGACTACCAGACTGGCGGTACCTTCAACTGTGACAACATAACCTTCACCCACCATACCGTCCGGGTCTGCCGGCTAAGCTGCCCCTGGGGCTTCCGCCAGGATGATGCCGGGCTGGTCCTCTGCAACAGCGGGAGCTTCGCGCCCATCCACCCGAGGGTGCTCTCTGCGTTCCTCGGTATTGGAAGATCGACCAACGCAACAACAGACATCCTGACGACAAGCCTGGGCATCCCGAACAACACCGATGCCGATGCAGTAGCGGCGGTCCTTGCTCGTATCGGTGTGACGGGCGATCAGCCGCTACGTAAAAGGTACACTTCGGGCAGCGGCTGTTAACGGTACATTTTACAAGGACAGCGCACTTCGAGACGGACTGACAGGGCTGCCTGGTGGTCAGGACTTGGTTAACTGGATTCTCAACATGAATCTCACAATGGAGATGGCAAAGCTCGGTAAGGAATATGTTTCTTGGTTTCACTGTTGATACTAAAGCGTAGTAAAACTGATGTTTACTATGTTCTATGTGCGCGCGCACCCATCATTGAGAGCGTGTGTGAACAATGTCCTTCCAGTTTTGTCAGTATCTAACGCAACTGTACTTCTCATACTCACAGAATCTTTTGACGCTTCGAGGAGGCCTTTCTGCAGAAAGATAGACTGTGACAACGATCATGGGCATTTGCAGGTATGTGAACAGCTCTGTGAAATCATTGGTGTTGCACTGGTGCTTTCATGATGTTCTTCCAGCGTTTTGATCGTATGCGCATGCATAACATGTGTAAAATACTTGCAGGCTCCCGATCATGGGCTGCTAAACTGCTCAGGATCAACATACCAGGAGACATGTCAGCTGACGTGCCGGCTCGGTTACGAACCGACAGGAGAGGACAGTTTTCAATGCACCGGCTTAGGATACTGGAGTGGACTTCCGTCATGCAATCCAGGTAAGAACAAAAATTTACATTCCAAAATATCTTTTCACACACATGTAAGTCTTGTTGAAGTTCGGAATAGTCCTGGAACCTATTGGTCTGAGAACCATAATTTTTCAGCTTGTGTGACAGTTCTAACCGTCACAACCTTGTTGACAGACTAGCCTAAAAGGAGAAGGATGCCATCTTGTGAGGCTCGGTCACTGAAGTTTTCCCATTTGACAAAACCATGCACGTGTGTTACGCGGTGACGAAAACGATGTTAAAACGTTCTGTTCCAGTACGCTGTGGCGACTCTCCTCAGTATGCACACACTCGGTTTGACTGCGGAGATTTAACCTACGGACACAATTGCACCACGGTCTGTGATGGAGGTTACCAGAGGACCAACAATACGGAGATCCGGTGTGATCACAACGGTAACTGGACACTACAGAATGGGAATATGCTAGGTGAGGCAGCCCCATATCATCAATGATTGTGTACACTAGACGCCCGCTAGCGACAATAGCTGATATTACTAAAATCCGCGGTCAGCCTTGACCTGTTAGCCTGGATCAGGGTACCTGGATGAGAGACTGCATCCAGGGCCTACAAAACTTAGCTCGTCAGCTCCAGGGCCAACGTGCTCTCAAGGAAATTATACCATAGCCCCTCTCTCCCTGGATTGACTGGAATATATGTTGCGGATTGGTATGACCAGTCCCTTTCCTTCATTTTCATACTCAAGCTTCTAGGACACTTGCTGTTTTGAAAATGCTTTTTTTCCATGCATAAGACCTACATTTTCCTTCTGCAGTTGAGAACCTGGTCAACCAGACGGATCTCTTCTGCGAGATAAAGGATTGCGGGGTGCCGAATGTAGGTACACTGTTGTCACTTCGAGTACACGTGCATGATATATATACTTTGTAGTCACACTCTGACATAAGATCCTGTTGAAATTAACCAATGAAAGATAAGCTGTCATGCTTTTATGGATACAATGGATATGGATACGTGTCCTGTTTGCCATTTCAGACTATCAGCGATGGCTACAACAATTGCGCGGGTACCAAGTTTGGTGACTCCTGCAGACCCACCTGTAACCCAGGTTACAGACTGACGAACGACAGAAACCAGCTTCTCCCCAGTGACACCACGTACAGATGCCTGTCATCTGGCCAGTGGGACGAGCAGCCGCTGTGCAGCCCGTCCGGCTACTGCAGTCTCGGCTGGCACAACTGCAGCGACGACCTCGGCGTTTGTTACGTCACTGGCCACCAGAGTCATGCCTGCGCGTGTGCCCACGGCGCGGTCGGCAACGGGACCCACTGCGAACCGGCTGACTGCGGACCATTGCCGGTAAGTATCTTGTCATACCATAAACAAGCCGACTAATGGTCGAGTGAACGGGACTCATCAGAACGTAATCAATCAGAAAACATTACGAAATCTGGTACAGAAACCTCAAAAAGCGTCGATGTGACTGAGACACCTACTACGGTGGCTTACCATTTCTTGTCTCTTTGTTGCTGCCCAATTTTAATTTTGTTACGAGGAGTCGAAGCATTACTATATAGTAACACGTCTATCGATCGTCAGTTTTCAGATCCTTCCGGCGGATTCTTCTCTTGCTCTAGTGTTGGTCTTGAGGAAACGATTTGTGCCCTGAGTTTCGATGGCTCCACAGCCCACAACAAAACTTCAGACCAGCAGTTCGGTGCCGCCTGCGCCCTGCACTGCAGACCAGGGTACGTCAGGCAGTTCCTGGTCGAGTACAGGTGTGGAGCCACCGGGAACTGGAGCATTCCCGTAGATCTGGATGCCATCGGCCTGGAAGCTTGTCAAGGTATGACTATTGATACATATATGTACATATATGACCCTGTCATAGGTTTTGCAAGAACCACACAATCCCTCTCCTAGTTGTATATTCCGGGACTGGACGAAGAGTTTGATAATGGTCTTTTAGGTTGGTAACTGTGAGCCATCTAATATCTATCCGGTAAAATATACAGACATTCCTTTCAGGTGGCTAACATATTTCATGCTCTACAGATATAGATGAATGCACGAGCGCGCCCTGTCAAAATGGAGCGACGTGCAACAACCTGGAAAACATGTACAGTTGCACCTGCGCCCCTGGGTATACAGGCGTTCACTGTGAAACAGGTATGTGTGACGATCTAAGGCATATTCTACGACTAGATCTGGGTGGGGGTTGGGGGTCGCTCTCGACAATGAAGAACCACTTAGTCTATCTGCTGCGTACTACTTAGCATCCATCACATGTCTTCAAGTCGGGTTCACCTTGATTTAGTATTACGTGCTGCGCGTATTTTTATGGACAGACGATAAGATCTAAGTTAACTTTCTACATTCAGTTGTATTTCTCATTTGCTATCGTCTATGGTAAAGACGCAACGATTTAACACAAAGTCCTCACTGTCACGCCCTCAACAGACATCAATGAATGTGCCAGCAACCCATGCCTTAATGGCGGGACATGCTCGGATGGAGACAACAAATACACGTGTGTGTGCAGACGTGGGTTCACGGGAACTCGCTGTGAAACAGGTAAGGTGGAAACCATTCCTTCTGATGGCCTCTGATGGCTATATTGATCATATTTTTGCATACCTTTCTTGCTTATTTGTTTTTACACTCAGATTACATTGCTGCAGTATGAAACATGTTGATGGTTGCAATGCAACTGAACCTTCGACGAAAGTGAGACAAATTTTTTAAAAACTAATTGTATGCATTTGTTTTTATAAGCACCGTGTCGTGTCTGACACAAATTTTGTCACTGTTATTACCTCAACAGACATCAACGAATGTGCCAGTAATCCATGCCTAAATGGCGGAACCTGCTCGGATGGAGTCAACAGTTACACGTGTGCGTGCAGGCCTGGGTTCACGGGGACACACTGTGAAATAGGTAAGATAGAAACATTTATAGTGTTGTTTCCTTTACACGAAAAGTCCGGAAGTTCATTCAGCTTTTATCATTCCTGCTTAGCCTTTATAGATAGACAATAGGTCCAAGTGAACATTGTTCATGAAATGTGTAGTGTTTTATCATTATTTCCAGGGATGAATTCTTTCTTCTTTGATCATTGACAGACATCGACGAATGTGCCAGTAATCCATGCCGCAATGGTGGGACCTGCTCGGATGGAGTCAACAGTTACACGTGTGCGTGCAGGCCTGGATTTACAGGGACACACTGTGAAACAGGTAAGATGGAAACCATTACTTTTGGTCACAGTGGTCATCTTTATGCATTCCCTCTTTGGTGGTGTGTTTTTATAAGCACCTTATCGTGCCTAACACTTGCAAATTTCGTCACTTCAATCAACAGACATCAACGAATGTGCCAGTAATCCATGCCGCAATGGTGGGACCTGCTCGGATGGAGTCAACAGTTACAAGTGTGTGTGCAGGCCTGGATTTACAGGGACACACTGTGAGATAGGTAAGGTGGATTCACTCACGCTCGCCCCATTCGTGTATAAAGTTCTTGTGTTCGGTGCAGGAAACGCATTCAGAATGAGAAACATGTTTGAGATGGTTGTGCAACCTTAATAGATAGACAAGAAGATAGAAGTGAGTGTTGAATCCCGTGTTGAATCCTTTTTCTTTAATTTCGGGTGGTGAATTCTTTCTTCCTTGTTCATTGACAGACATCAACGAATGTGCCAGTAATCCATGCCGCAATGGTGGGACCTGCTCGGATGGAGTCAACAGATACACGTGTGTGTGCAGGCCTGGGTTCACAGGAACACACTGTGAAACAAGTAAGGTGGAAACTTTCATTCTGTGGTTACATCAATCCAATTTTTGAATTACCTCTTTGGTGCTGTTTTGACACCCATATTACATTCCCGCATTGATGCCTTTGAAAAAGAAAGCTGTGATGCCACTGATACTATGACGAACATGGGCAAAGTTTATGCAAATTACTGGTATAAATTTATTTCGACAAGCACCTTGTCATGTCTTACACTTTTCATTGTTACGACCTGAACAGACATCAACGAATGTGCCAGTAATCCATGCCGCAATGGCGGGACCTGCTCGGATGGAGTCAACAGATACACGTGTGTGTGCAGGCCTGGATTTACAGGGACACACTGTGAAACAAGTAAGGTGGAAACTTTATAGTCGAAAGTCATTCCTTCCATAAGTGTTGTTTCCTGAACACGAAGCGTCTTGAAGATGAGTTCATTCATATTTGACCATTCTCTCTTAGCCCGGCCATAGATAGACGAGAGGTCCTAGTCCAAGTGAACATGCAATGTGCAATGTTTTATCATTATTTCCCGTGATGAATTCTTTGTCCTTTGCTCATTGACAGACATCAACGAATGTGCCAGTAATCCATGCCGCAATGGCGGGACCTGCTCGGATGGAGTCAACAGTTACACGTGTGTGTGCAGACCTGGGTTCACAGGAACACACTGTGAGACAGGTAAGTGGAAGCTTTTTTTTATAGTCGAAAGTCATTCCTTCCATCCTGTTGTTTCCTGAACACGAAACGTCTTGAAGATGAGTTCATTCATATTTGACCATTCTCTCTTAGCCCGGCCATAGATAGACGAGGAACATTGTGCCCGCAATGATTTATCATTATGTCCGGTATATGTTCTACATTGTTCATTGACAGACATCAACGAATGTGCCAGTAATCCATGCCTAAATGGCGGGACCTGTTCGGATGGAGTCAACAGATACACGTGTGTGTGCAGGCCTGGGTTCACTGGGACACACTGTGAAACAAGTAAGGTGGAAACTTTCATTCTGTGGTTACATCAATCCAATTTGTGCAATACCTCTTTGGCTGTGCTTTACACCCATATTACATTCCCGCATTGATGCCTTTGAAAAAGAAAGTTGTGATATAACTGATACTATGACGAAGATGAGGCAAATTTTATTCAACTTACTGGTATCAATTGGTTTCGACAAGGACCTTGTCATGTCTTACACTTTTCATTGTTACGACCTGATCAGACATCAACGAATGTGCCAGTAATCCATGCCGCAATGGCGGGACCTGCTCGGATGGAGTCAACAGATACACGTGTGTGTGCAGACCTGGGTTCACAGGGACACACTGTGAAACAAGTAAGGTGGAAACGATTCCTTTTGAAGGTCACATTGGCCATTTTTATGGCATTCCTCCTTTGGCGGTGTGTTTTACAATCACATTACATTTCTGCTTCTGAAACTTCTTGATCATCGGGTTGTAATACAAATCAACCGTCGACGAAAGTGAGACAAATTATATCAAAAGTACTTGAATGACTTTGTTTTGCTAAGCACTTTGTCGTGTCTAACACTTGCAAACTTCGTCACTTTTGTTACTTCAATCAACAGACATCAACGAATGTGCCAGTAATCCATGCCGCAATGGTGGAACCTGCTCGGATGGTGTCAACAGTTACACGTGTGCGTGCAGGCCTGGGTTCACAGGAACACACTGTGGTAAGCTATTTTATCATTTCAAAGTCGTTTCACTTTTGGCCAATGGATACTGAAGATATTGTTTACAATTTGCGTTACAAGGATAAGAAATCCCATCCTGTTTTTCTTATTCATACGTATGATGGATACCCGACATTCGTTTCGTGAAGCGCCTGGCGTTACACCGTCTGTAAAAGTAGGTCACATGTGTCAGGATTGTTAATTGTCGGGAGGGAAAACATCTCAGATTTAGGTGATTGACAAGGTGGAGAAAATCATCGATGTTAAAAAAGACAAATAGATTTTTCGGTATACTATTCGGAATATAATTGAGCCCCTAGGGAAACATCTCGAAGTAATGGAAAGCAAAAGGTAGTAGAAGAGTCTCGTGTTATCTGAAAATTCAACCTTTTGTGTATTTATCTCTTTCTTCATCAGAAAGAGTAGGCTGCTCTACTCTATCTCTACCGCATGGCACAGTTTCCTGCACAGACGGAAATAATGCATACTCAAGTTGCGTCCTGGCATGTGACAGTGGGTATTTTCTCTCCGGTACATCCGAGCGTGTATGTGGTTCCTCCGGACTGTGGAGTGGTAGCGCTACATGTCAAGGTGAATATCTTCAAACTTGTTTTCTACAATTCTGCTGCTACTCTATAGCTAAAGCGCTATATACCCACAACGTAACAATTAATGGCAATATCATGCTGATAAAGATACAAATCTGTTGCATTCCCAAAGGAGGTTACAATTGCCAGAGGGCCCAGAATATAATCTTTCACGGAAGTTTACTTGTTACAAAAATGACAAAATGTGCTACAGTTTAAAATTTGTAAGTCAATATGATATTCAATGCTCATCAGGTTCATAATTCAATATTTTGTAATCTATGGCCAACACAGGTCAACGTTACAGTTTACAATATGAAATTTGGTATTGATATTAGACTGCTATCAAAGCTTGTACCACCGAGTAGGTACGACCACTGACTTGACTTATCAAACTTAAGTTACATGTTTTCTTCTTCTCTCTAAATTCTATAATTAGCATGTAACACTGCGGTTGACATCATCGTGGCTGTAGACACTAGTGGAAGCGTTGCACCTGACATTAGCCGAGTACAAGAACTTTTGCGTAACATCGCCAGCCGTCTGCCGATTGGATCAGGCACCAACCAAGCAAGGGTGGGGCTAATAAGGTTTACTGTCCGCCGTGATCATGTAACAATTCCGCTGACACATAGCTCGAACCAAATCACCCTTCTGAACCAGATTGCCACGTTAACGTCCTCCAGCATGGGGTCAACTTGTGGCTCTAACCCCGCCAGTTCGTATGTTGGAGGTCAAATCTGTGCACTGGAAAGTTTGTATACTCAGTTCCGCAACAATCGGAGACCTGGTGTCAGAGAGATTGCTGTCATTATAACTGACGGTGGGGAAGTATCCCCTTCACCTAATGCTATCACTCCAGCTCAGACATTACGCAATTCAGGAGTAACAATTATCTGTGTTGGTGTGGCTGGGGTCGACCTCACTGCAATGCGTGACATGGCAAGTTCCCCCTTTGATGACCATTACTTCGTATCCTCCATGAGCAGTCTGAATACACTTGTTGACATGTTGGGACCCAGAGTCTGTACCTAGCCTTGTAAGCTTGTGTTGACAAGATTGGCGAAACTAAACTTAACCTACTCTTCGAACAGTTTAACCCAATGTGCAGTAGATCAGAGCTACATGAATAAGTCAATCTATGATTCTACCAGTTCTGCTTTGTATCATCATTTTTGTCCAGGGCAGTGGCTCACTTTTTGTGTGGCCAAGAGGTAACATGTTAATAATGGTGTTTATGTAATGTGTGTTCATCACAAAGTTTGCGATCATTGACAAATAATAATAGCGTTGGTAATAGAAATATTCTATGCTGTGATGAAATTTGCATGAAGATTAGCCATGTGGGTTTTATGAGATCTTATTCTATCCGCCCCCGATCTGCAACGTAAGGTGTTTAAACATTTTCTCTGGTCTTTACAGATGTTTTATTAATATCAGACGAAAATATCTTATAGACAATACAAAAGTGTATTTTTATGCATTATGACTAAAGAGATATTTTAGGCTGTGTTTAGAATTTTCATACACTACAATTATTTTAAAAATATACATTGGTAATAAGTTGCTTCTTGAGAAGGATTGTCATTGTGGCACGAGTAATATCTTTTATAAAACAGAAGACGTTTGACAATTAAACATCTCGTGTTAGTAGTACCTTTGTTTATATTGAAGCACACATACCATAAATGCCTGAAATGCCTCAGTTTTGGCTTAGTTAACAGTATCAACAGTTTAGAACATAACTGTCTGGAGTGTAGATTCCGGTGGGTAAAAGCATGATTCAAATTGTACCGTTTTTTTTATCTGTTCAAATTTTACAATGAATCGAATGTACTTGAATTAGTTTGTGATTTCTTGGTGACAGAAACTGATGACTTATGGATGACTCAGTCACTGTGGATGATTTATGGGTGACTAGAACAATGCATTGTGGGTGCGGTGTCATTTCATAGGTGTTATACATGTCAACAGTTTGCTGTAAACGGTCTATTGCTGTGACTATATTTGTATTTTATGAAGTGTGTGTGTGTAAGTTGATGCTGAAAGTTAATGAATTCCACGACAACAGCATATTCTGCTTGCTGATGCTATTTTGTGTCAGGACCAAATGTATAATGAAGAGACAATCTGTTGCAATTTTTAATCACTGGTTATATTGCTTGATAAACTACATGATATATCGAATTATCTAGGGGTGTTTGTGTGCTGTCGATGATACCCCGAAGATGAAACCGTTATTAAGCTCCGAAATATAACTCGTTTCCTGTTAAGTTGCAAAGGTTTGCAGTGTGTCTGTCTGTTTGTTTGTTTGTTATATTGTTAAGGTGAGCAGACACGTTGAAGAGTGAAGGAGACACAAGGGATGGCCGTTGCCATAAACCATGAATCCATTCATTCATTCATGCTTTGTGAGAAATTGGGAAAAGTATTTATGTACGCATAGCTTGTCACAATGTGCAATTGCCGAACGCCAAAAATCTATCAATTTATCTGTAGGAAGTTTACGATATTTTGAACCAAAGTCATCGTAATTAATTTTTCCTACAAAAATTGTCATAAATAATACCCGAACGAACGCACGCACGCGCGCGCGCGCGCGCGCGCGCGCGCACACACACACACACACACACACACACACACACACACACACACACACACACACACACTATTAAAAGCGTTACTCAGTCACCCATCTAATAATGAACTCTTCCAAGCCGGGTCAACGACCGTGCGGACACTTAGACAATGACTCCAAAATGGCCACGCAGGCAACTTACCGGACGACACTCTTTTGGTAAAGTATTGCTTACCTTAACCGATTAGCTTGAGGGTCTTCTACGTGATTCGTACGTTATATGATATAAATTTACACTGCCGCGATTGACCCCAACACTCAAGTCACCCTGACTGAGCAGCTCCTCTCACACCCACCGGTATGATCCGGTATGCCTGTACCGGCCATATATAATTTTGAGGGCTGTTTTAAACACTAATAGTAACCCCATTCAGTACGAATTGCTGCACATTTCTTGAGCATGTAGTAGGATCAAACGTACTCTACTAGTAAGAGTCCACAATTCATGAAATATTATCGGCCATTATAAAACGTTTGATACTAAAACTGTGACCTACGTAGATAATCATAGATTAGTGAGGTCTATTGATATGCTATTATACATAAATTACATGTTTTCTTTATAAGACTGTTTATCCTTCAAAGACGTGGCATGCAAACACATGTCATCACGATTTCAGCTACTAGTAGTTGAATGTGTTTTCCCGTTCCCACAGAGACTAGATCTTGGCTCGGACAGCCTTGAAACTTCAGGAAGGCATTTGACCCGGTAAAATCCGCCGACATGGAAAATGACGTGAAGAGTGTGACCATCAGAGAGCTCCGCCAGGAGGAGGCGACCGTAGCACGTGACATCGTCGTGGATGGACTCTACCGGCAGACGGTGACGATCCGCGCCGCATTTGAGGCGCTGCGCGCGGTGATCCAAGGAAGACTTGATCCCCAGCCACTGTGGGTCATGTGCGTCGTGTTGCTTTTTTTCATGGCAATATCTTATGCATTCTCAAACTCTGTGCTTGTGTCTGTGCTCGTTTCTGTGGTTTTGACGGTCGCCTCGAGTCTTCCCGTCATTTGGGGACTCATCTACGTTGAGTTTGGGAAATACGTGCATAAAGAACGAATGGAGCTCGAGCACCTGTATTCCTGGTACAACGCTAAACCCGGCAGCAGGTTCTGGGTGGCGGTTTGCGGCGGGAAGATCATCGGGACCGCGGCTCTGGAGAGGACGTCCGACACCACGGCCGAGCTGCGGCGGATGAGCGTCCTACCCGAGTACCGGCGCAGGGGAGTGGCAACCCGCTTGATGGGAAGTTTCCAGGAGTTTTGCAAATCCGACGGCGTCAAGAAGATGTTCCTAACCACCTCTCTTCTTCAGCCGGAAGCTGTGCTTCTGTATCAAAAATGTGGATTCGTTATCACCGAGACGACACCGAAAGCTGTTATACGACTAGAGAAGCTGATATAATGAACCATAATAATGATTTTTATAGATAATTTACTCTTTGTATCATTTCTCATACATTAAGTATGTTGAAGATATATGTACAAGTTAGTACATAACAGAAAAATAAAATTCGGACCAGGTAGCTTCCCGGCTTATCTAACAACGTACCTTACCCGTACCATATCACTATCATTCATGTGTAACAGTAAGGTTTTCTATCCTGCACCGCTTGCTTCTATCTTCTTATATACTAGGCTCAGTGTTGCAATTGGCAGCTTCGTCTGTGAGGATCACACAAATGCAGCCCTTCTTTAGTTTGTTGGCTAGACATCTGACGGCCAGTGACAGAATAATTCAATCTAAAGGTGGCGTATGGACTCTCTCTCTAGTCTCTGGCGAATGGATACTAGTACTGCCTTTTGCCACCCTAGGATCTGCTTGGAGATTAAGAATAACTAGTCAATGAAAGTGATAGCGACATTTGACTTCCGTACGGTATTGCAACATGTAACGATAGATGTTTCTCAATTGCGTTTCAATGACAATGTTATATTTTTGACCTGTAATCGCATTCTATATAACATACTCAGTTACTATACATGTACTCCATGGGTGCTATTTTGCTTATTATACTAAGATGTATGTTTCAAATAAACCATTAATTAATTCATTCATTCATTTGAGTGGGATTCATTCATTAAGACGTTTATGTTTGCCCTACGCGTGATGATGTTACAGTTTTAGGTGGTGTCCATTGGTCTGGTTTGTCAAACGTCAATTTAAGAATTTCTCAAACTACCCTTATTTTGATAACATAGACTTTGTTGTCCAAGTCGACATGATTACTTCCTGAGGCCGAGCTAAGAGTACAAATAATCAATTCTTTAAATTTACACAAACAAACAAGCCAACGTTATAAACTCAATGCCGATATAGCATAAAAGAATATATACCTAGACCTAAAGCATGTCCTTGATTCGTCTTTTTTTTCACCCATATAAGAATGAACTCTTCCAAGCCGGGTCAATGACCGTGCTGACACTCTGACTCGAAGATGGCCGCCAAGGCATAGCAGACGACGGTCGTCATACGATATTCCGGTACATCCAGATTATTGGTTGTAGAAGTGTGTGGCGAGGGTCTGTGTGTTTGTTTAACGTCATGACGATGTCTTTGTAACAATTGTGCCCAAACCATGCGACACACAGGACAAACACATGTTGGAGGATGGTCTGTTCTGCTGCAGTTTGGAAGCAGTTTGAGAGCGGCAAAACTGATCAATTACTGAGGTGGGCGTGGCAGATCGTTGTTGTTTTTACTTGTTGTTGTTGTCTCTGTTACGCCTGTTATCTAGTCGTCTCCTTGTCTTTCTTTCTGTTTCCTTTTTGTACAACTTTCTAGAGTGTCAAGCAAATGGACTCTTCTGGTGTCCAACGAAGGTGATCAAGCAAGTACTAGTATTCACTCTGATTCAGAGTGATGGTAACGTTAAATGTCTTAAATATTGCAGTATTTTGGAAGGAACATCATATAACTATAACGTTACGTTGTTTAAAGAAAGCCACACATCAAAACACAACTTCACCACATCTAAAGTATGGGCCCCGTCCCTACGTACTACCCGAGCCTTAAGAAAGGAATCTCTTCCTTCCCTTGTTAACCTCCTTGTTGATTGATAGGCCTTTTGATAGTCTGGGTTGAAACCGTCACCACAAACGTAAATAGGAGAAAGGTGGTATTTTAATGCTCTTTTTTTCTACCCCTGTCATTTCATTTCTCATGTTTCCTTATTCTATGTGTCGGAATATTTGTTGTAATCATTGTATTGTACAATGCCATGTACTCCAGTATCATTAATGTTATTAGTTTGATCTCTCTGTATTGAGCTTTTAGTTTTAATCTTTTTTTAGACAGTCAAGGGAAGTACATTCATATCATTGTGTAAAATATGTAATTTCATTATATGTTTCTAGTAAAGCTTTAAAAAAAGAAGACAAATTTCTTACAGAAAAAAAGATGTTAGTTTATCATGTAACGTTACACACACTTTTCTGCACTTTTACTTTAGCAATTGCACAACTGACTTTACAATGACCAAAGTTCACTGGAACAAGTTCTATTTTTACCCTTCCTCTAAAGTATTTATTATGCATGTCAGGGGTATATTAGGTTTCACAGTACATGATGTATATTTAGCCAGCGGATTAAATTTCTCACTTGACAGTCCAGAAGTCGGTGCAGTGCAGTATATATAACGTTAACGTTACATACTTAAATCGGTGCCCCCCTCCCTCCCTTCCCTCCACAGGTCTTAGAATTTCCACACAGGATCGACCAGAAAGGAAGGCTGCACAGATATGGCAGGTGACACGGAGTACAACCGGCACCGTGGGGTGATCATCGCCACCATGTATGTGGGCTACTGTTTCTACCACCTGACACGGAAGTCCTTCGGCTTCATCATGCCTGTCGTCATGGAGGAGGGGCTGGACCAGAGTGACCTTGGTAACGACCTTGATGGAAATATTCTGTACTTGATAAGGATGGGATGGAATGTGTGGTAATGCCTTAAGGTAGCCTTAAGATAAATCCTCAGAGATGAAAGTGGATGTTTCAAAATGTCTTAAAAACTATAAATAATGATGACAAAATAGGAGTTATCTGACAGTTTCACCACCATAATATTCAGGGAGTCAGTAAGAATGTCTAATGTTATTCTGGCTGACAATTAACAATGTGACAAGTATTAGTGATGCTAGTATGTGTATTTATATATAATACACCTTGACAGCTTATACTTATAGACTCTGAAGTATTTGAAGTCACCCGTTGCCCTACTTTACAGCCCATGGCATAAAATACAACTTGAGGTTGAAAGATCTAGGTCACATGCATAATGACTCTCCATCTATAGGACCAGCTGCAGCTCAGCTCTAAAAGATCTCATGTACAGGGTTGGTCATCAGCTGCTAGACTATTCAAAGCTTCAGCAAGTTTTTAGATAAATAAACATGAATATTGTTTGTCTCTCTAAATTAAAGATGACTTTCTCATGTGAGGGGTTGGTAATATCAGTAGCCATTATACCAATTGGCCTGTGCCTTTACCAATTAAGTATTAAAGGTACATGTAACATTCTCTTGCACAGGGTTGGTCATCAGTAGTCAGACCATGGCTTATGCCTTCAGCAAGTTCCTGAGTGGCCTGGCGTCCGACCACCTGAGCGCTCGCTCCATGTTTGCCGTTGGTTTGTTCCTCTGTGGGGTGTGCAATGTCGTCTTCATTCTCTTTGACTCCGTGCTGCTCTACTCCCTGCTGTGGTTCATTAATGGACTGGTCCAGGGCTTCGGCTGGCCGGCATGTGCAAAGGTCTTACGACAGGTAGGTACACTTGACCTATTTTTTATCTATATATAGTGCATCACCTTTGTAAGGACACTGTCTGTAAACTTAGGGACTGCAAATAGAGGATTACAAATGATGTGAGCACTTGAGCTGTTCATTCGTGCTGGAAGAAATTCCACAAAGCCATAAATTACATTTCTGTTATTTCTATGCAAGGTCTATGAAATTGACTCCTTAAAATACGAGTATGAGTTATACATTTGTCTGACCCATTCTCTGAGTCACTGATGAAAGATATTGAATGCTATCTGAAACGTTTGACTCTCCAGTGGCTTGATTTGTCACTATTACGCACATTTCTGTTATTTGTTTCCCCAGTGGTTCAAGCCGTCCCAGTTCGGTACATGGTGGAGCATCCTGGCGACGAGTATGAACCTGGCGGGGTTTGTTGGGCCGCTGGTAACCATGGAGATAGCCACCAGGTATGGCTGGAGGGCAGGCCTTCTTATCCCAGGTACGATACATTGCTCTAGTATACTGATAGTAGTGTGTGTTCAACATCCATTTCTTGTTCTCAGAGGAAGCAGATTATCAACCATGAACTTTTTTTGTAGGCTTTATGAGAGCTGGCCTCTGTTGATAATGCAGTTTGAAAGGGATCTGCTAGGGGGACTTTCCTGTGATGCATCACAAATTTTGGAATTTGAAAGACGGTTTCTGAATTCAGATCTTACTTTACAAATGCCATAATGAATGCTTTATTATCAATACCCTAATGGACCATGTGCATTTTTGTACAGGTGTTTTGTCCCTTGCGCTAGCTGTACTTTCCTATGGCCTAGTCGTGGACGAGCCGTCACATGTTGGACTGGAAAACATTGTGGCAACCACTCAGAAGAAAACCACAGAATCTAAAGGTTTGCATCTGATACTAAATTAAGCTGGTGTATATGATACATATATGGTTAGTTGCTTTGACTGATTGACAAAGATACAAAGAAAGTTTTACTGTACTTTTTACATACAGTATCCCATGCTCCTCCTGCAGGTGAGGCCCCCAGCATGCTGTCCCTGTTGGACAGCGCGTACCTGTGGCTCATCTCTGTCACATATTTCGTCGTCTTTGCTGTCAAGACCAGCTGTCTGAACTGGGGTCAGCTGTTCCTCATCCAGGACAAAGGTCATGAACCCTATGTAGGTCAGTATCTCTTTCTTTCTTTTTGCTTTCTTTTTCGTATAAAGGAATGAATGAATAAATGAGGGAATGAATAGATGGATGGATGGATGGATGGACATTTATTTGACACTATGTTTAATTGGCTTTTATGTATCTTGTTGTGCAGGTAGTCTGTTCACAAGTTCCCTTGAACTTGGAGGCATCTTTGGCAGTGTTATAGCTGGTATGGTCACCGACAGGATGGTCAAAGCAGTAAGTCTTGCACCTCTTATGATTTATTATTTTGTTTGTTTGTTTGTTTGTTTATTCCGATCCCCATTAGTGCTTAAAAGCACTATTCTTCCTGGGGTCAATAAAATAAAACATAGATAACAAAACTTTGTACATAATGATGATTACAAATAATAAAGTAACTTCAAATCAATAGAGTAAATTCAAATCAATAGGAGAGGTCAGAGGTCGACCTAAAAAAAAAAAGCACAGAATAATCTGAACATAATTCAGAGTTGTTTTCAGCTTTAATATCTTGTTGCACCATATTTTTCTTTGCCTTTTTACCAATAACCATTGCAATATGTATTTTTTGATTATCCCTTTTTGATGTGATTTTCTGTGTTTTCATGCAGACCCCCCTGACTGGCTATGGCAGTCCCCGTCACCCCTACGTCATCAGTATGCTGGCCACCATGGGGCTGGCTCTCTACGGCTTCAGCGATCGTGTGGAGGCAGACACACTGGAGGTCAGCAGATCAAACCTTCATTTTAAACTAATTAACTGGTATACGCAGTAGGGTGGGTTGGATGCTAAAACTTTGTATTCAGGAGGTCAAGTACTCTAACCCTGGCCAGGTCATATTGAAGATGATATATAATTTCTCTGGCTTTGTAGCTCTTCAGCCCTTGTCAATTGCATCACTGTACATGCCTTAATCTCCAAGCAGATCTTTTGGTGGGGGTAAGACAGTATCAAATTGGCCAGTCTGTATCCATTTCCCCACCTTGGCCAGTCTGATACAGACTGGCCAATTTGATACTGTCTTACCCCCACCAAAAGATCTGCTTGGAGATTACATGCCTGTCCTTTTGCACCACAGAAGCTTGTCATTTAATTTTTAATTTGTTGACATGCTTTTCTTATCATTTCTAACCATGGCTTTAAGCACTTGAAAAAGTTTGAAGATGTGTTTTTTTTCTTCCAGACGACAATCATGACAATTGCTTTTCTGATCGGCTTTACCTCATACGGTGCCATTAACCTGTTCGGAGTCCTCGCTATCGAGAACTCTCCCTCCAGCCTCTCAGGAACCAGCAGTGCCATCGTGGCCTTGGCTGCTAACTGTAAGTACACTCAGTATTACAAACCAGGTAGGCTTACATGGAGGGCAACAGTTTACCATGTGGACCCATATTATTTCATATATGATGGGCTCTTGCTGGTAGGTCCTAATAGGCTGAATGAAGAGGTCAAATTGGATGAAAAATTTCAAATTCTGTGATAATGCTGAAATCCTAATTGTTTGTTTGTTTGTTTGAACCATTCTTTACATCAGGCATTCCATAGTCTTATCACTTATTACCTTTTCTCTACTTATTTGTAGCCTTAAGTGCCAATAAATGAATGCCATGTCTGCATACACAACATGTACTTGATACCTTACACAGATTTTGTGTTGTATAATCATTATCATGGTAATCTCTAAAGTCCTTCCTTGTCCAATGCGTTACAGTTGGAGGCCTGATTGCTGGCTATCCCTTCGGTCTGATCGCCGAGAACTACAACTGGGAAACTGTCTTCATCATCCTGGAGATCAGCGTGGCCGTTTCTCTGGTCCTGTTTATCATAGCCAGAAATATCAACACTAGAATTGGTCCTACTTCCGCACAGAAAAGTGTTTGATGTGTTAGGGTTAGGTTACCTGGGTTCCTGTATGATACATACAGGTAGATGTGACCACAGTGACTAGGAAGTCTTGGTATGATGCATGTCTTTTACAAATAGGCATGGGCTTAAGCTGCAAATTCTTGATGTAATATTGTGCAGTTGTCCTTTACTGGCTGTAAATATTGAATCTGGACTCCAGGAGGAAGTGTTTAAAACTGAAACTGCTAAATCAAGGTGGAAACAGTTAATTGTTCCAAAATGAAGTTAATAACCATGAGAGCAAAGCAATTCTAGTTAATCATGAGCCATATAGCTAGAGGACTGTAACAATTGACATGACACTCGCAGTCTTGTGCCAAAAGGTTTTAGTACCAGTAGCTAGGCCAGCGTAGACATGAGTACAAATTAGCACATATTTGAACTTGAGTGAAAATGGATTTTTAACCATTTTAAACTACCTCAAGGTATAAGCAATCATTATGGTGGTGTTTTCCTGCAGCAAGTGAAGAAAATATCTATTGTGAAGTACATGTACATGTAAAGTATCAGATTCTATTTCTGGTGTGAGCAGTGTCTGCATGTTTTATCTTTGGAACATTATATTAAACCTTCTCTGTGCTGCCTAATCCCAAAACTACTGAACATCTAGTGCCAAACACCTACCACAGCAGTAAACATTGGATGTTTATGGATACCACTGGTGCATTGAGAGCCAATTGGGTTTGCAGCATTCAGTAAGTGTGCATGCCTCCAGACTGTATGACGTGATATTGTGCAATTCTATCCTATCTGAAATGTTAAGAAAGTGAATTTAATATAATTTCACCATTCTTTCTGTCCTTCTATAGGAAATTTGTGATAAAAATGACAATAAATGAAATGATGAAGTGTGATCTATTGAATCTTTGAAGTATTGTTCTAAATCAAAAGTTCTAAAACAGGACATACCACAATTTTTAAAACCCTACCTGACCAATCTAACCTTATTAAGATGTACGGTGCCAGTCATGGGCTATACAGCCATTACATTAAATATACCCCTGTAGCCTATACTATCAACAGTGCATGTCTATACAAAGTAAAATATTGCAAAAAGGGCAATTTGTGGTCATTTTCAGAATGCTTATGTTGCAGTTTCAATGTTTTCAGATAGGTGGTGTCGTTTGGCTCAGCAATTTCCCACAAATTCAACATTTCCCTTCGTTGAACATGCCTGCTCCCAAGCCGTACAATCAATGTCACGGTGTGTGCGTAAAAAAATGATGTTACAACTTAGCCAAACATGAACACTATCGTCATTGAGTGAAGCGAGGGAATGCAAGTTCCAGGGTCTTAATCTCCCCAAAAATTTGGTCAAGCACACCAGGTCACCTCTACCGTAAGTCTTCCAGCGATAAGTGTGTTGGGTTCCTTACACAATTCAATTCAATTCTTTATTTCATACCAACGTTACAGACATACAAAAATGTGTTGCCTGAATGGCATTGGTATTTACAGCAATAACAGCAAGATAAGGTACATAACATATATTACACATATATACATACTATTAAAATATATACATTAAATCAACAGGGCATCCCAGATATGACACGTTTACACAGTCTGGTTGTATAGTCTGATAGACTGATGTAGGACGAG